CACTCAGTTTCCATCTTTGTATAGCTTGTAGAGAGCATTTTTCATTGTGTGATGTCATTCAAAGTTGCCCAAGCTTTGTGGCTGCCAGAAGCAATGTAGTTCTTGTGTGATTGACATTAGCTTGCAAAAGTTTCTGAACACCTCTTCCTTGAAGTGGGTTCTGCGGTCGGAGGATATGATGCTTCAATGGCAAAGAAAAAATGTGTAAAGTCTGTGGGGAGGGTTGATTGCATAGTCTCTGATGTAAGATAACAGTGGAATGTTGACTGAAAATGTCAAGAATGGTTATGATATAGCACTTACCCTTTTCCCATGCTTACAATGGCTGGTGGGCCAATATTGGCATTTACCTTTTCATTTAGCACATATTTCACAAGAATCAACGAACACCTTGATGTTGCAATTCTTGAACTCCCACCAATAGTTGGATCGAGATTCATGCATACAAGTGACACCTAAGTGTTTGATGTAATCATAAGTTTGATATAGATATTTGGGGTGGAGTTTCTATGGTACAACTAATTTTGTTGAATTTTTTACTATTTCTAATCATCATGACAGAGGGGCTGGGAGGTGGATGTGTTTCCTGAGAAGGGGAGCCCAGTTGCTATTGGGATCAATATGAAGTTTCTTGTTTAAGTCATTTGTCTGGAGAGTTTTGATAAATTCTTGATAGTATGCAGTCCGTTAACTGTTCAGCAGGCTTATTAATTTGTTTACTAATTTTTATGGTGGGGATAGTTGATGTTGAATGAAAGGATACCTTCGTAATATGCTTGTGGTATTGTGTGGTTTGTGGTGTGTGTGTCTTGGGTATTAGTTGCAAAACATTGATTTCATCAAGACACCACAATGGAATGTAAATATACAGACAAGAACCTTAAATTTTGAATGCATTGCCTGTGGGGGTAGGGTTGGTTGGCATTTCACTCTTCTTTTGACCATGGCTTCTGCTGAGCATGTCGGTCCAGACATTTCATTCATCTTTGAATTCCAAAACAAACGTATAGCATGGAATCTCCTCCTGCCACTGTTGAAACTTAGCATTGTTGAACCCATGTTGATGTTGGTGTCAGGAGAGAGGCCTGGAGTGGATTAGTGATAGTACAAGTGGGGTTGATCCATCTATCTTCAGGATAGAAATTGACACTGGTTAGGTGTGTGGGTAGGCCAGCAATAGTGTGACAAAGTCTAGTTGTTGTGCTAAACTGCTTTTTATTGGCGAGGTGTGCATTTTTATATCTGTGGTTTAACAGGTGCAGGTTCCCAGATTCATAATTGTGGGAGTGGGGAAATGCATGATTGGCAATTTTCTCTGCACAGAAGATGACATTTTTATTTGGGGTTTTGCTTTCTTAGTGCTTACATTCGGCTGACATATCTAGTGAACTCTTTATTAAAATAGTATAACATATTTATATAGTGTGTGTGTGGCTTTTCAACATGCCTCTGAAGACTTTATATGCTAGTTATTTAAAAAAAAAAAAATTTTAAATACAAATATCCTGTTGGTAAAAGTGTAGAATCTGGGCCAAAATAACAGGGGGCCATAATTTGTATGAGTAAAAACAAAAGTAATTAATACACTTAAGGACTAAAATCCCAACTGCTTGATTTAAGGATCTACACTACAGTAGTTGTGTAGTGTTACTGACTCACAGGAAATAGTATGCACTCAACTGCCTTGTGGGTAATAGCTATAGCTATTATGTGACTTCATATGTAAATGAGTCACTTCATCTCCCAGCACTTATTTTCCCTGGTACTTTTTCTGGGAGCTTTTATCTCCTATCTTCTTTCTAAAGGATTTTCTAGATATGGGAAATCTTGATCTTTTTTTAATAGCAGTGTTCTTTTAACAATTGTCCTTGTTCATCTTCAGAGTCTATATAACTCTCAATTTCATTGTCTCATTTGTCTTGTCTTGACATGACACTTTCACTTTCATCACTTTCAGGCATACTATACATTTCTTCTTTGCTATCGTGTTGCAATCTAATTTGGTCCACATGTGTGAATATCCCACTTCCATTTGTTTCTATTATCATAGTGTTCTGTCCACTTTGCATTATGAATCTTGTCTCTTGTAAATTAGATTCACTATTATTTTTGTACCATAGTTTTTCATTGGTAGCATAGGACATATTCAATAGGGCTCTAATGTGTCTACCCATGAGGGTGGATGGGCTTTGATCTTACAGCAGGTGGCATTGTCCTATAACTTAGCAACAATCTAGGAAGAAATATTTTTATCTTTTTGTTGTACACATATTTTCAATCTGTTTTTATAGTATTCACCATTCATTTGCTTGTGGATGGTACAGGGGTAGGGTATATGGTTTGCATTCAATTTTGTTCAACCATTGGCATAGTACTTTGTCACAGAACTCTAGGGCATTGATACTAGCGTTTTTGGAATTCCATTTCTTGAAAATATATCCTTAACACTTGTTTCATGGTCAAACTACTTTTGTTGGAGACCTCTAATAATTCTGACCAGCTGAATACAAATCTATTAGTAATAATCCCATTCCATTAACTTGGGCATGATCCATGTGTACTCTGTCCCAAGTTTGGGACTCTTTAGGCCATGTATGTGTTTTTGCCTGTCTAAATTTTCTTCTGACATTGCACATTTTACACCTTTTTGTGTATTCTTCTACATCTGTAGAATATCCTAGCCACCATGACTTTAGTCTTAATTTCCTTTGCATAGACATTTTTTTGCAATGAACATTGGCATATATATTTTTTATAATTTTGCTCATTTGTGTTACAGGCAGAACCACTACGACTCCATTACAAATTAAACCATTTTCTACATTTAATTTGTGTTTAATCTCTTTAAAATACTTTTCTATCTGTGAGCAATTATACCGCTTATTATTTTTTATCCTGAACAATATAGTGTTCAATATGGGATCTTGCTTTGTATCCTCAGCTAAGTTGTCTATCGACAAAAATATCAGTTTCAAGAAAATATCATTTTTAAAGAAATTTTCTACCTGCAAGCAATTATCCTGTTTATTATAAGTGGAATAATTGCTTGCAGGTAGAAAACGTGTGGGCTGCCGATTAAAAAATATGTATCAATATTGTGATTTTAATGATAATGTTATAAAGCTTATCAGACGAATTTACATGAAATAGACAACACTTGTCTATATTATTTAATGAAACATGCATCAATATATAAAAACTTTCGGGTGTGAATTATGGCCTTTGTTTCATGCTCCCGATTCTACACTTGCGGTCAAAAGTTTTACTTCTTGTATGATTTTTTAAAAAGTAAATTTCAATCTTTAAAAATTTAATCCGTCCAGATGACCGTGTTACGAATATTTTATAAACTTGACCCATGAAATAATAATCTTGATTTACGTCCGGAATGTTAGAAATAAAAATCATTTAAATTATTTGAAAAGAATTTTTTTTTAGCCTGTTGTACTGTAGTCAAGCAAGTGACTCAAGTCAAGTGTGTACGTATTACCGAAATTTCTCGAAAATAATACGCACCCAAACAAATGATCCAAAAAATAAAAATTAAGAAATATCCCTAATCTAATTAATACTAGTAATACGCATCTATAAATTTTGTCAAAAAAAAAAAAAAAATTACGAAGACATTTTGTCGGCTTGACATTAAGAATAATAATTAAAATTTTTTTTTTTTTGGTAGCAACTGGAAAAAAACAGAGTTGGAACTTATTGTAAAAGTAAAACGGATTCTGTCAGTGAGGATATTATAAAAAGAGAGTTTCAAGAAGTGTTGTCTCATGATAGCCATGGATGGCTCTTTGGCAAGAGAATGAAGAGGCCGAAGATAATTTTGAACAGGACGAAGATAATATTGTGAATGATAATTTGTTTAATGACAATTTAGATATTGATTCTTAGAAAGTGGTGGTGATGATGATGATGATGAAAATTAAAATTTCAATAAATTGCTAACTTATTCTCTTTTCTTCGAAATTGGCCTTTTTATAGAAAGATTTTTTATTTTTTCGACAAATAAAAAATAGGGTTACTGATAAACATAAATTTATTGACAAAAAATGTTACAATTATTGTTGGATTTAAAAATGAAAATTGTTTTAAAGTTGAAAGATAATTTATCTTTCAACTTTAAAACAAGTACGTACGTATCAATAAAGAAAAATATTTTTGTTTGAACTAAAAAGCTACGCACCACTACTATCAACTGTAATTTACAGTTTTAAAAAAAAAAAAAAAAAAAAAAAAGAAGCGTATTCTTTAGAAACTTATTTTTCGAGTACGTAACTTGTGGAGTCAATATTTTTGTAGATGAAGTGAAAAAAGTAAAAGTTAAAACCATAACCGCAAAAAAGGCAAAATTAAGGTACGCTTTGTTGCAGTCAGTAAAAAAGTTAAAAAAACATCATTTATATAGGCATGGAAAAAGTCAGTGAATATTTTCATTTAAAATAGGTAATATTTTTAATTTAAATATTTTAATAAAATAAAAGTCATTAATAATGAAATAAGTAATAAAACTAACTAAAAATATTAATTTTAACGATAAAAATCGTATTTTTAAATCTTTTATTTTTAAACTAAATATTTTTACTAACAGGTCACATTTATTTTATCAGATAAACTAAAAAAATATATTACTTATTTTTTTAAAAATATTACCTATATTAAATGAAAAATATTATTTTGATGACGAGACCCCTACTTCAACATACCCACTCAATACTGACAGATTACCTTATGACTTTTCTTTTGATTATTGTCACACTTTTTCATGTTGTACTTTTGATTTTGCTTGGACGTTGAGAATGCTGAATGGTTTGACAATTAAATGTGATAATCACATATTCTTAAACAGGAAGATTTTAAAAGCTTAAATTAAATCCGAATGTAATTGTGATCTAGATATTTACGGTCAACACCGTTTATAGTCGAACTTTTCGTTCAAAAACATCCGGGTTGTGGCAAAAAGGTTCTGCTGAAAAACAAAATGCGACATTTCAGTCATGGGTAAGAAATTGTGTTATTTACTTGTTTTAAGTTTAAGTAAAAATCATATTAAGACGAGTAAATAAATGAACGCGAAGAGGTGAAAATTAAGTGATTTTTGTTAATTTCCAGCTCAGCTGCTTGCTTTAAAAGAATTAAATTTTTTTCTGCCCTACATTTATGGACTTTTTCGGTAATTATTTAAGAAGAATAATGATTAACTCTCTCACTAAATTTTATTTAAAATTTCCAGCCACTACAAATGAGGAATTTAATCTGTTCTTTCTCTAGTCCTCAGTCGTAGGTTTTTAAAACTATTGGCAGAATATTTTACAATATTAGGTAGATAAAACAAGAAAGTTTAGTCACGCTGAAAAATTTTCTTTTAAAAAACTTAGAGGAAATACATTTTTTTACAAGATTTTTTTTTCTTATTTTTAAGTTGCTGTTTAGTGTTTTAGTTTTCTCATAATTTAATTTTCTGATTTTTTTGTTTCATTTTCATGAAATTGCTTTATTTGTAACTTTAATTTGTTTAATGGTTATTGTTTATTTTTAATGTTTTTTTCTCTTGCAGCGAGAAAATGCTCTATTTTTAGACACCAAAAGACAATAATATTCTCCCAGAAAGCGATAATTTCACATTTCCGAAATTCATCAATTTCTGATATACCCAATTCAGTCATTTTGTCTCTTTTTTTTTTTTAAGGAAGCATTTGATCTTCCATAGTCATTCATAAGTAATTAAATACGTGATGAGATCAAAATTCATTGATGGATAGAGAACCTGTACAAACACGTTGCACAAGATACAAAGAAGACTGTTAGTTGTAGAAATAGTTTAATCTAATTTTGATGAAACACGATATCCTGAAAAAGTGCATTCTTTTAGCAAAATCATCTAAATCTCCTGAAGTTATCAATAACTAGGAACCACAAAAAAATGGATGCTTTTTTCGAAATGAAAGCAAAGAATCGCCACCCCTTGTTTTAAAAAGATATTTGCCAAAAATCAGGCCATTATTCAAACGAAAATTTCAGTACTTATTCAATCAATATTCATTAATGAATAAATATTGAATTGTATACTGAATAATTCGTTATTTTATTAGAAAATTTTGTGGAAATATTTGTTGGGGGGTCTGTTTCACATAGCCTTTTTCGATATCTCGTGTGTACTTTTTAATTTGGATGTTTGACAAACAAAAAAAGAAATCCCTGAAGAAGGTGTTACTGTTTAGTTTAGTGTTATTTTATAAAAAAATTAAATCCTTACAAAGACCTATATTTTTGTGTCAAACTCAACAAAGGGATAGAATGGGAAAAAACACATGCCTCTCTTATCCCTAAAAAAAGTTAAATAAGGCGCAAAAGTAAGACTCATCCACTACGCGAAATTCAAAAGAACAAACATACACTTGAATTGGGCAGGCAGAAAATACAAAAAAAGCGCACCCAACTAATTTGTACAATGGAATAAGAATGTCTCAGCACAAAGTGTTATGTTTTTTTTTTTGGTTTTTTTTTTTGTGGTTTGAACAGGTAGATGTAACAGGGACTTTGTTTTTCCTTTACTGAAAAGTTAACTTTGAGTTTTGGTTTCATAGAAATTTCTCTCTGGGTGCAGCTGAAATGAATTTTCTCTCCTGGGACTTCCAGTTGAGATTTAGCTATCGGCTCTTCTTTCTTTCCTAATGTTGATTTATGACCCCTTTGGTTGGACAATTCCTCTGGCCTTAAGTGTAGTGCTCTGTTTCCTTTCTGACAACTAAATGCTTTGTCATGATATCAGTGGATCAGTCTCCTTTTATGTGAAAAAAGGAGTCTCCAAAGTCCTTAATTTTGGTATTTGGGATGTCAGTAAATCTTCCAAATTCAAAAAGTGTATCTGCAACAATTCACAAAATAATCTGGAGCCCAAATAATTTTGTGAGTTGTTGCAGATCCACTTTTTGAATTTTGATGAAATATTTGGCAGTTCTTTAACTGCTAAATTGAAAAAACTGTCTGGTTTTCATTTACAATACACTTTTCTCAAAGATGTGTATAAAAAACAAAAAAAAAACACTCTAAATGATTAAAACATTTATTTATTACACCTTTTAATGAATGCTAATTTATTTTAATTCACAGTCCTATTATTAAATTTTTTTAATTTCAGTAAAAGATAATGCAGTATCAAGTGAAACCATTTTTATATTAAGCATTTGATTGCAAGAGAAAGGAATAATGAAGATTAAATTTTTGAAGAACATTTATTGTTAGTATATATGGTGTTGTACAGATATCACAAAATAGGGGGAATGTCTGTTTTTGGTGTATTGTCAGGATGGCGATCAAGGTTAAAAGCAAAGCTGGGAGTTGACCTATTTCTTGTTTTGACCTTGCTGAGGTCACAGGATATGGTTGGTGTACGTCTTGGTTGATTGAAGTCATGAAGGTGGGTTGATCTTGTTTGTTGGTAGGCCTGTTCTTTAGAATAGGGCCATGGTGATGATAGCAAGGGAATGCCTTCTGTGTTGATTATGCCGAGGTGACTGGTGGGTTTCCGAGGTGTTATCTAGGAAAGGTTAGCAAAGCTAAAAATCTGACTGTGATGATATAATACAAGGGAGCGAGCATGAGTAGTTGGGAGAAGTCCTGAATCTGACTTTGCTGATGCTGGTTATGCCAAGGTGACACCAGTGGGTTGCCAAGATGTTGTCCTGGATTGGTTAGTGAAGCTACAAATTTGACTATGATGATACAAGTGTGTGAGCATTAGTAGTCAGGAGAACTCACAAATTTGACATTGCTGAGGTGTCAAGGTGGTGTTGGGTTGATTTCATGGTTGGTATTTGCTTAGGTGATGAGTTTGAGATGCTGTCATGCTGAAGCCGGACAGCCAAGGTGGCTAGCCAGGCCTGGGAGTGGGAATGGTTGGTGAGTTTTAGTGGTCATGTTGAATGATGGTAGTGATGGAAAAATCATAAAAATAAACTGATCAATTTCAAAATTTATGCCAAACTGAAAGTATCCTGTGATGTCCCATTTCTAAACTGACTGGGATAACTGCAGATCTTAAATTGCTAAAGCTCCTCTCTCCATATTCTTCCAAAATAGAGCCTCCAGAACAGCCTCCATCTCCAAATGGATTCTTTCTAGCATGGAAAATTTTATCCTACATAAAAGGTATCAATAGAAGCCAAACAGTAGCCAGAATCTGCTGCAGCCATAGTTCATTGTAACCACTATCATCATTTTTATCAGAGGGACCAGTGACTAGCCACATTCAGAAAATTCAGGAAAATGTTCTGATGAGGTACATCCCCCTCTTTCCACTAGTTGAGACATATACAGCTAAAAAGTGCCATGCCATATGCACAGTGATGAATAATTCTCATTCCCTTTGTATTCTATTGGTAAGAAGGAAGTTCCATTCAAACAGTTTCTTCCCAAGAGTCACTGCTTTATGGTACAGACTCCCAAGAGAATGCTTTCCCAAACACTACAGCCATAACCTCTTTGTCTAGGGTCAATCATTACCTATCCTACATATCCTCATAACTTACTTTGCTCTCCTACATCCATAAAACAACCTCATATAGTAACCCTCTACCTTGAGTCACTCTTGGGCCTCGAATTGAGTGAAAATTTAATAAAAGAAAAAGTTTTACCTTACTTAATTCAGTTAGTTTGGTTGTAGCTGTAAATGTTGGCTAAATTGATAATGATTTGAGAAAATTTTGATGGATTGAAAAGTAAAATAATTTGAACTTGTGAGATGTAAATGTTTAAATCTAATGCATATTACTTTCAAAGCATAACACAACAACAATCAATAAAAAAAGGTTAGTAAAATTTATTAGTAAGTTTTTTGCTCTTTATTAATATTTCTTGTTAAAACCACCTTTGTTTATATATTTGAAAAAAAAAAGGACATTGAATTTAGAGATTTTGTGTTGAACAAATAAGTTGAGCTGCCTTCAAAGATTAATATTGTTAATACTTTGATGGTATATTTTTGATAAAATTAACATATTATAATCATCATTCTTACTGTTGATATGTTTGTATGATAATATTATTAGGTACTGTTTGAAATTTGAGGTGAAATATATCCTGAATTATTTTAGATGAGGAGAGCCACCTGGTGTTGCTTGCATGTAACATCAAAATAACACCAATAATGTACAAATTCATGATTACTTATTATAAAATGCAGATTGTGTGTGTGTCTGTAATGTTTATATATTGGATCGGATTTCCTACATTTTTCAACCGATTTCAACAAAACTTCACAGGACTACATAAAATTACCTTGTGGTTCTAACAGCTCCAAAAATGGAAAAAATATAATTGTTTTTGCACAAAATCAATTTGAAAACACGATTAAGAGACATTGTGAAAATGGAAGGGGGACAACTCACATCGGATTTCTTATATTTTTCAGCCGATAAAACAAAACTTCAATTCATGCAGGTAGTGTTTCTTATTCTCTTACACACTTTTTTCTTTATTTTTAACATTCAGAATGCTTTAAAAATTCCATTTACAAGACAATTATTTATAATAAAATTCTATTCAATTGGGAGACTCATAACGATTGAAAACAATGTTTTTGTTTGAGTTTGACCAATTCGTAAAAAGTAAAAAAAAAAAAACTAATTAAGACATGCATGTCCGTCAACCTTAAACAATAATCTAACGATCTATACTGATTGTATGAATACAAACATTGGATAAATTCTTTATCTTTAGGGAAAGATAATGAAATAAACATACACAAGTCCTAACTAAAAATAATAACCGGAACGGGAAACTACTTTAAATACACATGGTGTCCAATTTTTTTACTGTATTCAATAAGTAAAAATCATAAATTGTAAAAGATTATTATTACATAAAGGCTACTAAATGAATAAGATTTGTTAGATCATGATTGATAAACCCAAATAAAGTTAATATTTTTTGTATTAGAAACGAGTGGAAAATATATTCAAATCAGAATTATAATTATGAATCACCACAAGCAAAATATGCAATTTTTTTTACTGTATTCAATATGTAAAAATCATAAATTGTAAAACTAAAAGATTACAGAAAAAGGCTACCTACATTTTTCAACCGATTTCAACAAAACTTCACTTTTTTTTTTTTTTTTTTTTGGCATGTAGTGTTTCTTATTGTCTTGCACACTTTTTTCTTTATTTTTACATTCAGAATGCTTTAAAAATTCCATTTACAAGACAATTGTTTATAAAATTATTCTATTCAATCGGGAGACTCATAACGATTGAAAACAATGTTTTTGTTTGAGTTTGGGTTTGACCAATTTGTAAAAAAAAACAAAAAAAAAAACTAAACAACCTTAATCAATAATCTTTGTCAATTTTATTTTTCAGTCTTTATACTTGATCTATCTCTTACTGTTATATCCCTGGGCAACGCCGGGCTCTACTGCTAGTTAATAATAATATTTATATGTAAACTTGATGTTATTTAATTTATTATAAAAATATTCATTATAATTTAATTTTTATCACTGTTTAAATAAATATATAAAAAAAATTTTGTTCACTCTGTTCTAAATTTTCTCTGTGTATGTTTGTCCAGTTTAAACTCCAAAGCTACAATATTTCGATACTTAAAATTAAATATATTCCAATTCAGCATACTCAAAGGAAGGTTTTGATTATTAATTTATATAAATGAAGATATTTGTAAATTAAAACATTTTTCCATTTTAATTTAGTAATTTTTCATTTTTATTTTATTTAAAAAAATGTTTGTTTTACAACTAATTGTTATTCTTTGTTGGGATAGTCATCTATATCTATCTATACATATATAAAAGGCAGTTGTCTGTGTGTGTCCAGCTAAAACAAAAAAACTACATTAATTAATGACAATTATTATTACCTAAGCCAGTTTTTGTAAAAAAAATTATCATCGTATGATAATAATTATCATTGTATTTACAAAGATATTTTAAAATTAAAGTGCATTAGAATGCATTCAAAATTCTCAGAATTAAAAGTATAAATAAATGTTAATAATTCTTATTCCCAATTAGGATTACTGTTCATTTTTACTTTATAATTCCTCTGATATTTTCAAAATGCTATACATGTATTTTTAAAATTTCTATCCTCTTGAATTTATTTTCACATTTATAGTAAATAAAAGCATAACTTCAAAAAATGAATATTAAAACAACAAAGTAAATTTAAAAGAAGAAGAATATTAAATACAATTATTTGACACAAAGTTTATTTATTTATTCAAATATTCAAGTCCAGCTAAAATTAAAAAAGTACATTAATAAATGTGTGTGTATTATTGACTTATTAATATTTTTCGGCCATCTTATGGAAAATAATTTTTTATTTAATCTTTAAAAAATAAACTTCATTGTTTTTTGGTTTGTAACTAACATAAAAAAGTAAATAATTTTAAATTAAGTTTTATTAAGGCAAAAAATTATAGTGAGCCTTATTTTTTCGAAAATTAATTTAAATGAAATATAGTTAAATTGTTAAAACAAATATTTAGCACAACTAATGTTAACTAAGTCATGTTTATCTCTGCTAATTTTTATTTTAATAGTTATTTTATTCTTTGCAAATACAAATTTAACTTGAAATTTAAACATAATTGCTTTTCAAAATTAAATTCTCAATATATCTTGCTTTTACTGTCATTCAAAATATTAATTAAATTCATTTACAAAGAAATATTTACTTCTTTAATGTTTAAAAGTAAAACTTTATTTAAAAAATATAAACTCCCTCCAAAACAAATAGTAAATAATTATTTTTCAAAGAAGTAAGGCTCACTATAGTTTTTGCTGGAAAAAATGATTAAATTAAATATGTTTAAATATATCTTAATTTAAGTTTATTTACTGTTTTATTAATAATAATTTGAAAAAAGGCTAATGAATATTTATCTAGGTTTGATTTGTTTGAAAACAACATTAACAGAGTATTTATGTTAGTAGTTAAATTGAAAGTTAAAGTGTGTTTTTACATAAAAATATGGGGATGCTCAGCCCCTTAAGACCACCCCACTCCCCAAAGCATGGTATTGGTAGTGTGGTATTTTCCTAAATTTATTTATTTTGTAACAAACCAAAAAACAATGAAGTTTATTTTTTAAAGATAGAATAAAAAATTTTCCATAAGATGGCTGAAAAATATCAATAAATTGTCAATAATAAACTATTATTCAGAGAACTTCTGAGCAATGCCAGGTATGCCTGCTAGTATAATGTATATATGTTTTTCTACATGCTTATATATGTGAACATTTTTATTTTTTCCCCCTCCTTGTTTTTACAGCATACGCTTCAATGTATGAAAAACTGAATGAGAACATTCGGCAAATCCCATTAAAACTAAATTTGCACATGAGGGAAATTTTGGACTGTAATTATGCTGTAAATGGTTGGCAGAAATTTGTAGATTTGTTGGCTGGAACTAAATTTATGCTAAGGTAAGTGTCTTTTGGCATTTGTCTTGGTTGTGATAGCCACATTTAAGTTGGCCTTTTGGTGTCTTTTTTGTGAATGTTAAACTTTCTGAAATTCAAAAGTATAAGAAAATAAAAGAAGCTACATATTTATTCAATAATAGTCAGTATAACAGCCTAAGTTGAATCAAATTTTGATTTGAAGTCTGTTCAATGTCATTTTTTTGCTCAATTTTTCTATTTAATAAGTAGATACTATTTTTTTCATAAAGGTTTCAATTTATACTTGGGTATATTGTAATAAATTATAATTTGTTAACACTTGGGTGTATGTATAAAATATGCACTGCTTAATAGCTTATAAGTTAATAATAATAGTAGGTAAATATTTATTCTTAGAAAATCAACTGTTTGAAACATTATTTAAAATAGCTGTTCTTGCATAAGTAATACCTTGTACACTTACACTTTAAATGTAATTGCATCAACAAAATCACATTTGCTTGCTATCACAAATTTGAAGAAAAGATTGTTTTAACTTTAGTAGTTGCTACATTGAAATTTTATATGACAATTAATTGGTGATATTAACTTGGTTTTCATCAAATGTCGCCTTAAGTTTTTGTTATGTTTAACAAGTAAAAATAAATAATTGCACTTACCTAATTTGAGAAATACTGATGTTTTGATCAATAAATAATTGAAAAGCTAAGTAGTTTAATGATTGAAAAGTAAAAAAGTATTGATAAATTAAACATGTACTGTAATGCAGACCAATTTGTCTCTACCCACCCATTGAAGGAAATAGATGAGAAGGTGCTGAAATGTTCTTGGTCTGACCAAGAGTTGATTAAAAAATTGTTTTCTAAAATGTTGAAAAGTGAGTTGAACTGTTTTCTTTTTGTTTAATCATTTCATCCCAAGCAAGAAAATAAAGCCACTAAGATGCAAGGGATATTGAGTGTGAGAGAATATGAGAAACTATTAAGGAGAGAGAACAACAAAAGAACAGGAATTAAGAAGACAGAAGATAACAATTGACATTACATTTAAATTTTTGAAGATCAAAGTTGACTCAAAAGCAAAAATCTGGAAGCGAGTTCTTCAAGTCAGAAGTGTGAGAGAAGAAACTGTTAGCATAGAACTTATGGTTACATCTAGCTATTTCAACTGTAAAATGATGAAACCTTGCTGCCAATCTAGTGCTTAAATTCACAAAGTCTAGGTGTACCAGAGAGGAAAGTTCATTAGAACAATTACTATGAAAATGTTTATAGGACAGGCACAGGGAAGCAACATTTTTATATCACTACTGAGTGACCATAACCAAAGAAACACTACTGAAAAAAACTTTCAGATGTTAATAAGATTAAATTTATCCACATTTATACCATTGTAAGAGAAAAAGATTGAACAAAAGTTTTTTAGGAAATAAATGTGAAATCTATTTGTTTACAAAATAAATGAAGATAAAAAAAAAAAAAAGAAATACAACATGTCTGAAATCGATTTGTTTCAGTTTTCAAAATAAATCTTTTTGCAGTAAAATCCAGTTAACAACAAAATAGCAAGTAAAAATAAAAAAAAATAGTTGACAGTTTTGTCTTAATGTTAAATTTTATGAAGTCAGATTTTTTGTAAGCCAGTTACGCCAATCATGAAATAAAGTTGTTGCAAACAAGAAAAATGAATGAAGATTTCTTTATATGAATAAAGTTGTTTTTTATCTAGGGTATGCACCTAAATTAGATATTAAGAATAATTAAAATAGTTCTTAATTTCACTTTTAAGATGTGTATATTTCCAGATATGCAAGTCTCTGTTTTCTACAAATAAAATTATGTTTCTATCTAGCAAATACACATAAAATTAGATATTAAAAAAATAAAGTTTTAATCTCAGTTTTAAAATGTGTATATTTTCAAAACTGCAAGTCATTTTGTTTTAAACCTAAAGTAAAAATTATTCTTTTTTAGCCACTAGTGTTCAGTAGTTGTTGTGCCTATAAAATTCTTCTGAACAAGGAAAATTAATTCATTTTATTTTTACAAGTATCTTTGTAGTTTTATCTGGTGAATAATACACTTAAGTAAGATTATATTAAAATGATTAAAATAGTTTTTAATTTCAGTTTTAAAATGTGTATCTAAAAAAGAACAGGCGATACTTGCAGATTTGGAAATATACACATTCTAAAAATGAAATTAAAAGCTTTTAATTATTTTTAATATTTAATTTTAGATGTATTTGCTAGATAAAAATACCTTATTGATTTTCCTTTAGAAGAAATTTATTTGCAAAACCCCAATAATAGTTAACTGGCATACCAGAAAAGAATTGCCATTTTTTTTGTTTTGTTTTGTTTTTTTTTTTTGCTTTATAATTTTTGAAGGAATTTGCTTCCTTGGGTCAGTAGTTTAAGTTGTCTTCTAATTGAGTGTACAATTTCAAGAATATTGATAAAGATTGGTCACTTTGATTTTGTGCAAACAAAGTAACATAAAATTTAGTCTTAAAAAAATCATTTCACATTTTACATATTTAGAAAGATTATATTATTTTCTTTCTAGCCATATGAATATTTTTAAGATTGGACCAGAAATACACAAAGATATTGCGAGTTGAATGGATTAAGTATTATCAATCGCAAACAAAATCAGATATTGACTGGTAATGCTATCATTAGACAAGAAAATGAATGGCTTCCTTAGAAAGTAAAAATACTAAATTAAAAACTGAATCGAAAACCGTGGTATAAAGGAAAATAAAATTGGAAACCCATACTGAAAGATAAATTGTCAAACCGACCAACTCTAGAATAAGGTTTCTAACAAGCAGGAAAGCAAGAAGCAGCAAGGCATTTATATAAGAGTTTAGAGAATACAGAAGCCATTTCAGGATCACATTTCTTAAGGACTATTACATGAATACAATTTTGGAGATGATATCAGAAATCATGAAAAGTCAAACAGATATTTCAGATGATTGAAGAGTAGATGTTAACACCTCAAATTGAGTTAAGAGAGAAGGGATAGAAGACTTAACACACTATTACAGAGCTGCCAGTAGTAACTAGAACCAAACTTGTTAGAGGCTATGTGGTGCCTCATTCTGTCAGCAAACAATGACATAGCTACTTTGAAGACACATTCACAATTATTACAAGCAGTCATAAATTGGCATCTGTTGTGATCGGAACTATCATGCTGGTACACTCGATAAAATTGATTCCTGTGGACTATTAACAACTGAACAAGCTGTTGTGAACTAAGGAGAAAATTGTAGTTAACTGTGTATTTCTGAGACTGCACATAGCATCAGTGCCAGCTTTAACCTTAAGTTTTAAGGTTTAACCTTTTTTTTAAACCTCTGTGGCACGATTAATAGAAAAGTTAAGAATATCAATCTAAGAGGTGTGTCAAAGAAAGTCATGAAATGAATCCCAGTCAGTATGCTAAATATAAATAATGTACACTTAATGGACTGAAAACTTTTGAACACACCCTTATATGAATAGCTTTTTTATTTTTTTTTTTTTTTTTTTTTTTTTGTTTCAAAAAGTTAATAAGTTTTTAATGTGATTGGCTTTATATTGAACATTGATTAAATTTTACATTTTTATTCAGATTTGTTTTTTATTTTATTCTCAGTAAAAATGACATTGAAACTTGTTCAGAATTGTACACTGGACATAGGAGCCCAACAAATGCAATGATCACCAAACTAGGCAGCAAAAATTTCCTTGTTGTGGACTTGTTAAGAATTCTTAATCAGTTGGAGCAGGAATCACTTGTAGAAGATGTGCGCAATTATGGTAAGTCAGGTTATGTGGCCAAGAATACATTGATTTGTCTAATATTATTTACAAAACAATTTTATGACGTAATCAAAATAGTCAATGCCTTTTTTTACATTGTGTGGGAAAAAGTGATCACTGATACACAAATAAGTGCATCATGTGCCAGGAAAACAGTGGGGGCATTGCTCTTGACGAATGCAGGTGCATAGCAGTCATAGGGTTGTCTGCTTTTATGACTTATGACTTGGGCTTATCTGCAGTTGCATCAAATCATTGAATACATCAAACCTTTAGGAATAATGTGAGTGAACGCACTACTAGGCATTGGTTCCAGAAGTTCAGGTCAGGAGATTTGTCCCTTTGTGATGAACTCCTGCAGTGGCCATAGAGGAGGACAACAGCCAAACCTGTGGTGAGCTTGCTGAACACTTCTAGCTTTCTGATGAAACAGTCAGACTTCACCTGCACCACATAAGGAAGGCATAAAAGTTGAACAAGTGAGTATTCCACACACTGTTGGAAGTCAACAAGCAACAATAAGTGACAACCTGTTTCGTGTTACTTTCTCGGCACCACAATGTACTCATACTTGATTGAGTGCTCACCAATGATGAAAAGTTGGTCCTATATGACACTCCCAAGTATGCTAGATATTGGTTGTCACCATAAGACCCTGTGCCTCACACCACAAGACCACCTCTACACCCATGCAAGATCATGCTCTATATCTGGTGGACTAGTCAACAAGTGAGCTAGTACTAATGGACCAAATCATCACTGCCAGCCTATACTGGCAGTTGGAGCATGTGCAACTTGCACTGATGCAGAAGGAACCAGCATTGGTTAATTGCAAGGGTGTACTGTTCCTTCATGACAATGTCAGGCCTCATGTGGTGTGGGTGGGAGACTCTGTGCCATCCACCTTACTCCGACCTCTTCCATTCCCTGGACAACCACCTATGTGTGAAATCCTTCACAAATGAGGTAGATTTGCAGCAGGCATTCACAGACTTCTTTGCATCCAATGTACCTGCTTTTTACCACCAGGACACTGTACAGATTTGAGGACTAACTGTATTTGCTATATACCTTTTTTTTCTAATAAATAAAAAATGGCAAGAACTTTTTTGGTTACTTTGTACTTACTGCATATTGGGTATTTTATAAACTTAGTGAAATCAACTGAAATAACATTAAATTAAATTTTCAAAATCTTTACAAATTAGAAAGTATAATTATTGAAGAATAGTCTAATATAAAAATGTTATTAAATAACAAAATGTGTTTAAATAATCAAGAAATAAATTAATAAATACCTGTCATAATTATGATAGAACATTTTCTTAACAAGAATGTATGAATTTAATATGTATGCCTGTAGATCATGTTATGCATTTCCCTTTGGATATTTGCGGTTATTAAGACATCTCTTCACTGCTTCAATGATGACAGATATTTTACATTTTAGGCAGCTATACTATTGAATAAAGAAATGTTATCTTCATCTATTATCTAATCATTATCTTATCTATCCATAAAAATCTCTACCAGCATATATTCATTCAAACATAAAAGTTTAAAGTCAAATATTTTTTGAGACTTCTACAACAAAAAAACAAAGATTTGTATTAAATGAGATGTAATTGGAATTAGGCTTACAATAAAAACTTTCATATGACACATTTGACAAGAGAAAAAATAATTTCAATAAATGTATGCACTTTATAAATAAAGTAAGTGACCTGAAGCCTAGAGACTGTCATTGTTTTATTGTTTGCTTATTTTTTTAAAGTACTAAATGGTGTATTTTAAAATTTGAAAGCAGATTTTGTTACAATTGAGATTTTTTTCTCTTAAAATTAACAGAAAGAGAAATAATTGTTTTCCCATTGGAAATATCTTTATTATTTCAGTTGGATTACCTCCAGAACCAGTGACAATTACGCAAGAACCTGCTAGTAGTGTTCGACTGGAAGCAGGAGAAGATCTTGTACTGGTAGTGGAAGCTCAAGGGTTTCCATATCCTCGCTATCAGTGGTTTTTGGGAGATAATGAAATTCATGGGGAAACAACATTTCAACTAATTAAGAAAAATGTCCAGTATGTAATGGTATTTTTTTCTCTCTTTTAACAATAGTCACACTTTGTGATGCATTTTCACTATTTTGACTTGATGTATTTAAAATTAAAATAATCTAATGGCTTCCTTATTTTAATGTCCTTGGTTTAGTTTCGTTGCTTAATGATAATAAAAGCCTTTATTTTATGCAATAAATATAGGGTATTCCAATAACTTGGACCGATTTTAAATGTGAATTAAGTTTAGGTGTCTAATGATGTTTTCTTTATTCTTTTAACAACTTAAGTCTTTGGCAATTCCAACCATGAAAGGATTAACACTCAAACAACATGTTAAAGTTATCGAAGCCTATTACGAAAATGGACATTTAAACAGAAATGCATTTTGCGCAGTTTGAGATTTTGACAAAATTCAATTAACAAAAGAACTGAAACCTGCTGACCATTTGGAGCGCTGTACATTCATCAGTTGTGTGCATGAGCAAAGACAAGCCAATTAAGATTTTTTGCAAAAAATCCCCTTTAGTGATGAAGCATATTTTCATTTTGGTGGATTTGTTAATAAGCAGAATTGTCACATTTGGGCTGATGAAAATCTAAGGAAGATTGTTGACAAGTACTGCATCCACTAAAGGTCACTGTTTGGTATGCATTTTTGCTAGCGGAATCATTGGGCCATATATTTATAAATTTGAATGTCCATTTTTATCATAGGCTTCGATAACTTTAACACATTTGATTGTTAATCTTTCTGTGGTTGAAATTGTCAAAGACTTAAGTTGTTGAATCTGAAAGAAAAAGAAAAAAATCATTAGATGCTTAAACTTAATTCACATTTAAAATTGGTCCAAGTTATTGGAACACCCTATATTTATTTTTCAATATAATTTCCTTCTTTGTCAGTGCACTTAGTGCAATACTTCTCCATTAACCATTAAATTTCAGATCAAATTTTAGCTAATAACTATGTCAAGCCACAGACTTATTGATCCACTCTTGTATTTGTAAAATATCATGAAAAATATTCTGGCAATTCTGAGTTTAAGTGTAAAGAATAAATATAAAATGATATCCATACACACAGCCGATAAATTAAATATCTCTCTTATATTTCTCTCTCTCTTATGATGATGATGAAAATATTCTTTGTATAAATTTTTAATTTTGTTGACCTCTGGGTGTATGAAAGCTTTTGGAAATTGTCTAATTTTTGGTTACTCCTGTAGCCTCCATCAGTGATTACAGATGGGACAGAGGCAATAAAAATCTTATCAGGTGCCTCAACCAAAGGATTGGTGAGCATATATGTATATTTACTATTGTGTGTGTGTGTGTATATATATATATATATATATATATATATATATATATGATGATGGGTTCTCCTGTCGAGTTTGACGTATGAGGTTTCAACGACCACAAAATAATTATCTGCATGCCTATGATGGGCATGACTTTTGAGACAGCTATAGAATTGCACAAAAGACCACAAACAGTACAGGAGAATGTATTGTATCCAAGTGCAGTAGGAACACTGTTAGATGTCTTATTTTGCTTTCTCATTTCATGTATTCGACTGATCATTACTTCTCATTGCAACTATATCAATGTTTTGGTTCTTTAGCTCCAATGACCAGAGCTGTTTAATTTCTTTCTGGTGCTGAGTTGCTGTCCTGGAGAGTTTGTACATTCCAAGTGCCAAGATGAAGTTGATGTTGTTTCATAGTTTTTCGCAGTAGCCGGATATGTGTGGAACTAATTAGATGTAGTTGTCAGAAAACCAACACAATGATTTGTTTCAAGTGGTGAAGGCTTGCGTCGGACCATCCACACTTTTTGGATCTGTCGATAAAAAACTAACAGTGCATAAGGCTTGCCACAGAAACTCCGAATGACAGTCCTCATGTGTTATTATCATGGAGTTTAACCTCTCTGGATCACAGTCAGTATCAGCCAGTACACACTTATCAGCAGACACATGCAATATAATGACGCTTGACACTACATTTTAATGAAAACTCTAACATTTTTAGGCATTTAAAACAACATGCCTGCCCGCACACACAATTCCGTAAAATACTTGTCGAAAACACAACTATACTTCGACATGAAAACAATAGACAAAAACTAAAAATACTTGAAGCATTATACATCAGTTAAAACCCAACCTAAACAAAATCAACTATGGAATCTCTACAAATATTCTTAAATGTCTATAATTTCTATAATTGGTAACAGAAGCCATTGGTTTTTATACCAACGGCTTTCCTTATTTCATTCTCCAATTCACTCTCGTGTAGTCATGTGTGACGTCATGAGATCTTGGTGCGATTTTCGCTTCTAGCGTCTTATATGCGTGTGTTCATCATTGCTTAGTGATCCACTATGTAAACTAAACAATGACAGACTATCATCACTGTCGTGTCCGTGATATTGTTTGATATGTTTGTAATTACATCTTTGATAATGGCTTGAGTAAGCGAAAGCTTAGATTATATTAAAAAAATAATGGATAAATATTGTGAATTTCTTTTTTCGGTTAATGATAATGTTATCAAACTTACCAGAAGATACGAAAAAATTTTACATAAAATAAATAGACAACACTTGTCTATATTATTTAATGAAACGTGTATAAATGAAAATATGCTGCCTAAATACACACAATTTAAATATATATATATATATATATATTACACAGGTTGTTGGAGTAAACAGATCATCATCAATGTGCCAATATATTGCTATACTTTTAAAATAATAATAATAACAACATATAAAATTATTATCAATGATATGAGAATATTTTATTATTATTACAATTATTAATAATAATAATTATTGTTGCTGTTGTTGTTTTTAAAATATTTGAAAGATAAGATTTTTTTTTTCCACTTTTATAGTATTTCTTTTTTTTGGAAATTTACCTGAAACAAATGAAATCTAATGTTTTTTTTTTTTTTTTTTTTTTAAAACACAGCAAGTTTCACCCTTTATATGGCCCATAGTAGTGAGTTATGTTTGAAGGCCATTTGGGTGTATAGGAGTGGAAGATAACAGTTAACCCTAGCCTTGAACAGGTTAAGATGTGCTGGGGAAACATCCTGTTGGGAATCATTTTCACAGGGCAGTGAATCATGAGAAGAAGCTGTTTGAGTGAAATTTACTTCTTGCTGAATTGATACAGAGGGACTGTGGGTGATTTACTACTATGTAAGTGGCATGGTGTGTTCTTGCTGTGAAGGTTTGCCTTGGCAGGACCAGGGAATGTAGGGAATGAGCACTTTCTGTGAAATTAGCAGTAGAGTAGTGTGAGGCTTGCCACATCCTACCAGTGGGAGACAGGTTGAAGGGTGGAGAATAGTTCATCACCCACAAGGGCTTAGACACTTTTGAACTTTATTAAGGCTGGAGAGTGAGGTTTTGGCAGCACCTGTCCATATATAACAACAGTACTTCATTTTTGGCCTGATCTGTAAAGGTAGAGGATAGCGGAAGAGGTCAAGTACTTACTGGATCGGTACAAGAGAGCCAACCATTTTACATACATTCTTAGCAGTGTATCATATGTATGAGTTCCACTTGAGGTCTGGTGTGAGTTTGATGCCCAACAGTCTTTCAAGGTATGGTGCTTCCCTGAGAGGAAGTTCATCCAGATTGGGCCAAGAGTTTGTTCTTTTCTTGGTGCTCAACAACCTTCTTATTAATTATGGCCTCAAAGAGCTTGCTGATGATACTGAGGAGACTGATGAGTATGTACTGGGAGGGGGGAAGATTACATGCCCGCATTCTTGAAAACCAGGCATACGCTTGATACTTTCTACAACTTTGAGGAGGATTTCTCCTTCAAGCAGCAGTTGAATAACTTTGCTAGGATTGGTGATAGTTCCCGGTTGATCTTTAGGACAACCACTGGAATTTTTTCTGGACCAGTGGATTTCTTAGGGTTAAGGCCTTTGATAAGTCTAGAGACCTCACGTGCTGTGATAGTAATAATATTGAGATTGTGCTCAGTGAGACAAGGGGATGGTCTTTGTCATCTAATATTGAGTTAGAGGCAAAGATGGAGGTGAAGAGGTTTGCCTTATCAGTCAAGGAAGATATCACCTCAGGGCCATTTATAATTGTGGGCACAGCCATTTTACTTCTGTTCATGATTTGGTTGGTGATTTTACAGAATTCATGGGAATTCAATTTGGTTCTTTTCAACCTTGGTCTAGATTGCTCATGCATAGCTGCACTTGGCATTTTCTAGAACTTTTTTGCAGCAATTGTGTGCACTCCTTGTGATAGATATTGAAGTAGTGGTTTTAGTGTCTCTATAAAAAAGATATTTCTAATTATCCATTTTATTTTTTCATTTTATTAGAAGTTATGTGGAAATACCTTCCAGGAATATATCCAGCAGTTTTGCATAACATGATTCTGCTAATCTTACCAGTTTGATTACTAAGGAATTATTCTGCTTTCATTATGTCCCATTATGTCATGCAAACTGTAATCTGTTTTTGACCACTTGTTTGCTGAAATTCACTTGATCACTGATTAAATATTCTAAATCTTAATGAAGGTTGAATTTTTTTTTTTTTTTTAACTAAATATTGCTGACCAAAAGTGTTATAAATTATTATTTTTAATCTAAAATAAAAGTACATTATTTGTTTTCATCACTTTAATAATACCCCTGGCACCAATTTCAGAATTGTCAAGATCAATATTTTTCTAATGAATAATCTTTAAATGTGTAAGTCTGGAAAATGAGAAATAAAAACATAAAAGTGGAGCTCACTGAAAGTGCTTGACTGTTGTATCACCAAAAGCTTGATCTCCAAAAATGGGATAAGATTATTTAAATTAAAAGGTCTAAGACATAATACACCAATATGCATAAATAGATTGAGAGAATTAAATTTTTAGTGTAAAATGTAATACATTTTTGTTACTTTCTTTTTTACATTTTCAAAATGAAAGAAAAGATCCTACATTCCTGATTTTTCAAATATGTTTCATACAGTACCAATTACTTTTAATATGGTTATTATGTTTTTAACCAGAGTTTGGAATATTTTTTTTTAGGGTTGAAGACAGTGGAAGCTACTGTTGTCGGCTACATAATTCTCCCGATCGTAATGAAGTTAAATTTACCAGACCGACTGTTGTTAATGTCAGACCATCTCCTGGTAATTTGATAGAAATGTTTAACACTTCTCATCACTTTATTTGTTATAAAAGAAAACTTTTGATACTTTTTTAATAAATTTTTGTACTGTTGTTATTTTTGTGACATCAGCCTTCTTGAATAAAAAATACATTCTCACTATAGTAAAATTAACTTAATAAGTAATCCATTATACTTGAAAAGTATTTGAAAATGCTAGTTAAGCAAAATAATTCATTGTTATATAGAGTAATTAAATAATTATAACAAATTATTATATTAATTATTATAACAAAACAAGCATCATATTTCTCATTTTTCTTTGATTTAGTACATCTCAGAATTTAAACAAAATGTCTTCTGATGAAAAATGTTAAATAAGATTTTGAATTTTTCTTATTTTTTGAGTTTGCTTATGACCTGCCAGATAGAATTCATTAAATTAGAAAATTAAGAAAATAGCTAAGTCTAACTTTAGATTTTAGTCAAGCTTTGATTTACCTAAGTTGATATCTGAAAATGATATTTTGTTTCCTGGTGTAAAGACAGATTTTAAATTAAAACATTCTGGCTTAGAGTTGGAAAAATGGTTCTATTTTTGTCATTAGATGACATTAGGAGTATTTAGTTTTTGACTAATTTTATTAAAAAAAAAGATTACTTTTGATTGTGTTGTTGAAACTCATTTCAGCTTGAATTAAAAATAGTTGTAAAAATTAGCATTTTTTCTATGAAGATGGAAGAAAATAGTGGTACAAAATAGTAAATATTTTGTTCCTTAACATTAATGTCAAAAACACTAAAATTTATTTTTACTTAATAATCTAACAAACATTTTCATCAACCCACTGTAAAACTGATTTATACAAGCTTGAGTTTGTGAATGAAGATTAAACTTTTGAGCAAATCTTAAATTTGTTATAGTGATTGTGGTCAGTCTATTTGTATACTTCTAAAATCAGCAATATGCAAGTAGATCTTTTCTTGATTATTATTCTATTGATAATGGATATCCATTTTTGAAATAATCAGTTTTAAAGAAATAATTTGATCAGTTTTATTGAATTTTTATTTAAACATCAACAATAAACAATTTGTTCTTATTCTGATAAGGGTAAACAAAAAATATTGATTTTCAACTGATGTTCAAGCATTTTATCTTATTCAATTGGAACTTTAATCCTCATTATGTGTTTGTTTTGTTAATATTTAAAACACAGCTGCTCTTGAGTAAGTAATAACTTCTACTCTTACACTTTATATGTGATTACTTTGCATCAACAAAATCACATTAAGATTTAGAAAAATCATCATAATCATTATGTAGAGTGCTAATAAAATGAATGCTATGACTCAATATATGTGCAAGAGGCTCTGCTCTGTATCTCAAATTTGAAGAAAAGATTGTTTTGACTTGAGTAGTTGCTACATTGAAATTTTATATAAAAATTAATTGGTGATAACTTGGTTTTCTTCGTATGGTGCTTAGGTTTTTGTTTATGTTTAACAAATAAAAATAAATGACTGTACCTACCTAATTTGAGAAATCTAATTAATTTTTATTCCTAACTGAATTTTTTCTTTAATTCTTATACAAGTAATATTTTATAGTTATCTTGTGCTTTTAATGGCTTAGGGAAGTGTAGGTATTCCTATAGATGTTTACATGTGGTACATAACAGCTGAACATAATCTAATTATCAGATAATACATAATAAATTCAGACTTTATCAATAACAAAAAAGTTATGAAAATTACAGATTATTGAAGAATTCTTTTATTTTTGAATTTTGAGAATGCTATTGTTATTTAATAAATAATATTTCAGGTGTGATCTAGGAAAGAATAAAACAAAATGTTTTTGTTTTATTTGTTAAACTACATTTTTGACTTACAGCCGACAGTATAATTTAACAAATAAAACATAATATTGCTAAATGAATATTTTATTTTGAAGTTTTAATTTTTCTGATTTAGAACATAATTTGCACCTCACTGATGATATTTGTATAAAAAAATTAAATGTTTTATTTCTTCAGAAAATTATCCTTTCAAATCTGTAAACTTCTTCACAATCATTTAGAGATCTTATGATTACTAAATGATTCTGAAGAAGATTTTAATTTTGGACAAATATTTTGACTAATAATTTTTATATAAGGAAAGCTTTTAATGAATTGCTTCAGTCACTGATGTAATAAATAAAATGGTTATTAAATTTCAATAATTGGATGAATTTCTGTAGATTTTTAAAATGTGGCAATATCAGGTATTCAAATTCTTTTATTTATTTTTCTTCTCTTTGTCTTAGTAATTTTTTTTAATATTCAAAAGAAAAATTTCAAACAATCTCCATTTCTGTATATAGGACAACAATAACTCCTATATCAGAATGTTCTAATTCTCCTTCCTAAGTTTTTTTTCTGTTACATTTATATGTATTTTTGATCATAAGTAAAGTTTTCAAAGTACATGAGAATAACAATATAAGATTTATAATCTCTTGGAATCCAGATAATCATTTTATAAAAGAATGAATAATCAAGATTGAAAATGTAGAAATATAACCTTTTTTTTTTGTTATAAGACAATAGTTAATTATTTCTTTACCATTTTTTAAGTTCTGTTTGAATTTTTTAAATATAATTTATTACTTTTTTAGTGCCTGTGATCCTACAACATACACCACCTCAAACACTTTTCTCTCAGGACACATTGATTTTGTGGTGTAAAGCTACTACTTTTGTTGATTCCAATTTAATTTATGAGTGGTACAAAGAAGATACCTTCATTGCCTTTGGGCCCTGTCATAAGGTAATCATGAATTTTTTTCCCTTTTTTTTTCTTCTTCATTTTGAAACAGAAAAGTAAATTTTCTACAGAGATAAAGTAACCAAAAGACAATTTTGTTTTTTATATGCATTAAAGGTTTTAACAGAATAAAAGGGATATGTTGCTTAGTGCTACATGATCCATGTATATTTACAAGGGTTGTTCAAAAAGTTCAAAGCCTCACCCAGAAAGAAATGCCATAGCTGAACATTTTTGTTGTGGCAATGTGCTACCATTTTCAGAAAAATTCAGATATCTGTCTTAATTTCTGTGCAGGTGTGCAACAAATCTAAAATATACAAAACAGAGGCTCAAGTATTTGCAAAAGAAATGTATGACACCAAAGGAAATCCATGGTACAGACACTTGCTGAAGACTCCCCTTCCTATGCAACTGTTAAGAAGTGGATTGTGGAATTCAAGCAAAGCAAGGACAACACAGAAGATCATTTCCCAGTTAGGTCATCCAAAAACCTTAATTACTGATGAACAAGTTGATACCATTTACTTTATGGTTTTCGATGACAGACATCTTACTGTCTAGCAGATAGCTAAGTCCGTAGGCATTAGTTCTTGTTCGGTCCATAACTGAGATCTTGGGGATGAGCAAGTTGTCTGCAAGATAGCATCCAAGAATGCTGACACCAAAGTAGAAGCTGAAAAGGGTTGACATTTCCAGGACACTTCTGACTCTGAGAATTTCCACTGCAGATTAGTAACTTAGCATGAAACCTGAATTTCTCACTGAAAATCAAAATCTATCTTTTCATAAGACAAAAGATTTTCTTGTAATAATAAATTGTACAATGTGATGGTGTCTGGATTGGCCAATTTTATTGTATCTAGCAGGGAAATATTGCCGATTTACTTGTCAGTAACAGAGAGAGTACAATGATTGAGAAAATTTTCCTAGTCTTATCTTCTCACTACCAAACCAAAAACCTCACTGAAGAAACTTCAAGAGAGGAACTTTTGTTCTTAACCAGTTGCTGATTACTGGCATATTTTCTTTTTTTATTTCATTGAGAGATATTAAGTTAGGAAAAGAGTAAAATCAATGTTTTGGTTAGGTGTAAGAGTTATTTCCCTTCAGTAAAGAAAGTCATTATAATGAATATCACTTTCATAATTTATTAATGACTATCTTTTGTAGGAAATGTTAAGCATAGTGTAGATATATGTATTAATATATAGATTTTTGAAATGCTCTTTTGAAAGAATATATGAAAATGACAAGAATTTTATTAGGAATTACTATCATTGTTATCAGTACTATAATTGAGTGTAGTTGTAGGGTAACTGCACAGCTGAGTACCTGACCAATTCCTTCCATATGTCTTGTTTGCATTCCAATGTTTGAATTTCTCTGAAGGATCTTCCAGTCCCCTAAGTGATATTGTCATCTCATTTTTCTCCTCCCTATCTCTTCTTCTTTTACCTAAGGTGGTATCTTGTTTGCGCTTATTTCATGTGCATGCCATTTCAACAAAATTATCTGACAGTGGTTTTCTATCATCATGCAGTGAACATGATCAATATTTTCTTTGGTGGTGGCAATTGCAGGACATCCAAACCTTGAGTCATCTACAAAACTCTTTCCTCCCTTCCTAAATTCAGTTGCCCCATTGTGCACTGTTGATAAAGCTGGAATGGCATCTCCTAATGTAGCAACCATGTTAGCATGAATGTCCTTGGGGGGACTAAAACCATATTCTGCAGGTACTTGATAACACCACAATGACAAATTTTGACCATTTTCAAGAGAAGTTGCTATTAATTACTTTTGAAGTCTTCTTTTAACAATCAGATGTCAGTTTACTTGGAAAGAAACAATGTAGTCGTTACTAAGAATAAGTTAATGTAGCTTTTTATTTGATTCAAAGTTATACTCACGATAAAGTTAAGTTGATTCCAAAAGACATTTCAAATGGTAAAACAATGCCAAGTAGCTATGAAGTAAATTTAAGATTTACTAGGCTTAAGCAGATCTAAAATAGACCTTGGACGTATAACAAATACTTAAAATACTTTTTTTTAAAGTTTGTAACTTATATTAATTTATTTTATTGATATCCATTACTTTAACTTTTATTTTAATTTTCTCCTTAACTTTGAAAAAATTTCCTACTCTTTTTCAGAAACAAAAACTAACAAAAATTGACTCGGGAGAATATAAATGTCTTGTTAGAAATGATTTTGGAGTGACAATCACTGAGCCTATTTTGGTCAATGTTTTAATTGGTGAGTAATATTAATATGATTTGTCAGTATTTTTTTGTTCTTTTTAGTAAATCTACTTTGGATGCCTGGTTTAACTTGTTAACTTGTCAATATTGTAATATATCTCTTTTACAATCAGACAGTTATGAAGAAATAAAAAAGGTAAGTTGGTAGACGTTTTTTTAGATATTACTGCTAATGAGTTCAGTTGTTAGAAATACAAAATTATTTATAAAAAAAATCCGATAATAATTAATGGTTAGTGATCTCGGATCTTATGCATCTCTTTTTTTTATTAATTTAATAAATTGTCTTTTGTGACTGCTAAAAAAGTACTCACAATTTATAAAATGATTACAAGAAATCTAAAATTTTCTCTGGCCTGCTTTTTTTTAAGAATTTTACTGATGAATCTCCATTATTTGACTTGGACTCAACTCCTCTACAATAATTTTTATCTACACAATGCAGTTTCTCTTTTAACCATCTCAGTTAATTCAGTGTGAGCTCAGCAGAAATATAATTTTATATCAGTGCACTGAGTGTTAAGCCATCTTATTAGCATCTTACTAATGATTTCAACCTCACTTAAGCATTCAGTGTGTCATATATGATGTCAGGTATAATGATATACAGAAAGAGAATCAGTTCAACACTTCTGTTTGTCATTGAAATATCACCTTAACTCCATTCACTGTGCCATCAAATTTTAGCATTGTTGGCTGATCACGGCACACATCCTTAGTCATGAATCCACTTACATCCAACCAAATCCCAATTACTAAGGAACTTGCATCAACCCACACATTCTCTTCTTTTCTGTTTATGCACCAATCTTCTCAAGCAGGGTTATTGTTTCTGGTATTTTTTTTAAGAAATTATCATCTACTTTGTTATCCCAGCTCTTTGTAATTGCAGTCAGTCTGTTTTATGAACCTGTTGCCACACAGAACCATGTATACATTGGGAAATGCCTCACAGGTTTCATTGTATTTATCTCAAGAAGGTTTACATCCTTTGTATCCTTTACATTTATTACCAGAACTTTAACATATTACGCATGCTAACTCTACAAACTTTATTTCACATCTGCATAAAATTGAATTGAAGAAAATCATCAAGTATACACTGTCATATGCCCCAGTCGACGAATGGGTTTATAGGGTGATCATACGCCAACTAGGATATATATACATTCTCACACCCGTGGAGAGATACAAGCTATCTCTCTCAGATCGTGAGAATGGACAATTGGTAAACGAAAATATTTTTAAGACCACTGTTCGATTGGGATAATCAAACAGTAATCTTTCCCAGGTTCGCTTTGTTTTCAACACGAATACTGATCCACAATACAAGGATGAACTATAAGGCTTAGCGATTTTGATACAAGAATTTTAATATGTACAAATATACAAATATCAAAATAAAAGAACAGATAAGTATGAGTTAAAACATCCGACGACCAGATCTCAAACTTACATTGGGATATCAAGATTCGCCTAACACCAAATGGATTCAACTGAACCCGAACATACAAAAATATAAGTATGAATTACTATGAATTGAATGCAGAAGCCAACGCACACACAAAAGAGATGGGATAGGAGTTACAATTATTGTTTTACATGTGGAAAGTTGTTTGCAAAAACATAATATTCATGGATGTATGTATATCTTTCTACTACGGGTCCAAAATATGATTACTTATCTTTTACATTCAGTTCTCTTTTTTTATATCAATGTCCTTTCTTTTCTTTTCTCGACACAAACACAATTTCACACACTGTTTGGCTGTAACAGAGGTATGCACTTTCTTCCTCTCTTTGTTTCGCCTTTTTCTTTCCTTCCTTTTCTTCTGTAGACAGCTCGGTTTCCAAACCCGACTTACTGCAACAGGGATGTACACTTTCTTCCTCTCTTTGGTTTTCTCCTTTCTTTCTTTCTTTCTTTCTTTACACAATTCAGCTTATAACAGAGGTATACACTTTCTTCCCTGGTTTTCCTTTTTCTTTCTTTACACAATTTGACTTGTAACAGAGGTATATACTTTCTTCCTCTCTGCGTGTTCAATTTGGGGTTATCGAACAGGAATATTTCTTATATTTCTTGTCCGGAGTTGCCTGGGTTGAACTGGATAAGTTCCATCACTATCAAATGCGTCTTATCTTTCCGTTCATAAACTATCAGCGCTTCGGCTTCAGGTCTTGCTTCTTCCAAGTCAAGATAGCAACTGATTCTCGAGTGAATCTCTGACTGTCGCGTGTCTTAAGTTTTGGCGCGAATTCTAGCTTACATCCGTCCCCTCTCTAGCTTCTGTCTAGACATTTGTCACTACGGGTAATTGGGTCAGTCAACCTTTTGACCTGCCTTCCTAAAATGTCATAAGACTCCCATGTGACCTTTATTCTGTTGCTAGGCGGAAAGTAACCCTAATATATGCGTATATGCGTGTTTAGGCTATCTGCTTTCATCACACATCAGAACACCAAAACCATTCACAGTGTCTATTGATCTTGGTTAGCATAACATATTTCCTTGTGTTGATTGTCTTCATTTTGCTTTTTAAACAATCTGAAGAAATATGACCTAATTCATGGCATCAAAAACATCACACTTTTCTCTGCTTGTCCTTCCTCATCAAAACAAACAAACTCATGCAATATGATTCAGTACATGATACCTGGAGCACATGAACTTGATGATTTCTTCGTAATCTGTAGATGTTTTTTCCAGCATCTTGATAATATAAGACTGCAGCTGCCCCTATCCTTCAATATTGCCAGTTGGTTGTCATTCATAGAATCCATACATGAAGAGAAAGAGACTCGCTTTTTCTGGTAACTCCGTTACAAATGCACAAGTCAATCCATAGTCAGATACTCTGTATAATTCCACCAAAAACACATCTACCAATTCACTTATGCATCTTGATATAAATTGTTCATAAGCTACAAATGAATCAACTGCAATTTCTGTATCTAAAGCTTCTTTTATCATTGTAATGTTTTTCTTCACTAATTCAGATGTGTTGGCACACAGTAAATTTTTCATCAGACAAATGAAGTGGAATGATTCCCTCAATTTCTTTTACATCACATAGCACATCAACTCAAATTTTTCCATCCATTCAACTATAGATGAGTTAGTATTATCTGCTGCCAAATCTATTACCAATTTAAGACTAAACTTTGTTTCAAACATTTTTACTAAGTTGAAAAAATAGCTTGTACAAATAAAACTTCCAACAATTGCTGGATAACAAAAATACCCCTTTGTTCTTTGGTAACTTATTAAAAACCACTCACACTTTTTTTTATCCTGCTAGTAATGTGCCAAAGAGCGTTTACTGTTACAGCATCAGCCAGACTTGTGGCTAGTAGGGGGTGCATTGTTGCTGCCATAGATCATAAAATTATTTTTTTTGATTAGATGTTAGCACATGGCCTACATTCATGTGTTAGTTAAGGTTGTAACTGTTACATTAGCAATGAAACAGACTTTCTTCTGAAAAAATTTTTTTCATTTTTGTTGACAATGAATAGAGTAAAAAGGAAATGTTATTTTGATGATATGGGATTTGTGTTAAAAGTTGTCACATTTATATTTTTTATCTAGAAACATTAGAAATTGTGGTACAACCAAAATCTACAACAGTGGATCTTGACAGTTTGGCTCTGTTCACCTGTAAAGCACGTGGACCTGAACCACTTATCTATCAGTGGTATAAAGATGAAATTTGCATTCAAGGTAGGTTTTTGTCTATTAGAAAATGTGCCTTTTGTTTTTGTTTACCTGAGATTCCATTTTCATTTTTTCAGAGTGCTACATGTCATCTGTCATACACCTTCACTTCCCATTCATAGAAATAAATCTCTACCTATTCTTTCCAGGTGCTACTTCATCTGAATTTGATATCATTATTAAATCTCTAAGTGATACTGGAATTTACTTTTGTAAAGTATCTTGCCCCAGTTTTCAGATGGAATGTCGATCAGATTTTGCTATTCTGCGAATTAAGGATAACTCAAAACAAGTGCAAAAAAAATATGCTGGTAAGTTTCTTTCTATTATCACTTAAATTTCTAAAATGTTTTTTTAAGACATAGCAGTTATTTGTCTTTGCTCAGATATATTAAGTATAGTATCTTAGTATGTTATTAGCCAAACCTGCAATGAGTACAATTTAATTTTTTGAAATTATTCATATCAAGAATTGGATTAAAATGCCATAAGAAACAGATTCATTTTCAGGAGAAAAAATTAGTCTCTCATATAGGGTGTCTCCCCAAATCTGTGGTCATTTTGGATGATAGCAGTGTCAGATTAAAACAACTAGTGGGCCTGGGATAGAAAACATTTTGAGCCCTCGGCACTAGCTTGCAAGAAACTTATTAAAAATTAAAAGTAGGCCTACATATAGAATGATACTGATCAATACCAACCTCTAAATCAAATGTGACACCCAAAGAAATATATTTAATAATTTTAATTTTGGTAAAAATGTACTGTTTAATAGCCATATTTTAATATTACATTCACTAAAATGCAGAGTCAAAGATTTTCTTATGCTGCAAATTCATTGTGAACATACCATCAAGTTTCTTAGACATTTTTTCATTGACTGGTTAGTTACCATATCACACTATAGTTCAATTCTTGTTTAGATTAGTGTGAACAAAAACTGGGAAAGGCTCGGTGCCCATTCACCAAAGAAATTGAAGATGAAAAGAAAAAAAAACAATTTTCATGCATTGAAGTTTTCAGTAATTTCTTTATTTGTGAATTCACCTGGCACTGTCAAAGGTAAGTGGTAGGTAAGTGTCACTTGGGACATCTTGGCTGCTACTTCTGTCTTCTCTCACAAAAGATCAGAGCTTCTCTTTGGCCAGCAAGAACTCCAACTGTCCCTCTTCCCATCTCTGATTGTAAATGTCAGTCTCACTGCCCCTCTTTATATCTTGAGGTGACTGACCCCTGATTGTTCCTGCTCCAACTACCTCTACTTCTTGAGGAACAGCTTGTGATTGCTTTTATTTAGAATGCAGCCTGACTAAATAATTCCCATGACTATAATACCCTATCTTTCAGCAGAGTGGCACTTGATCTTAAAACTTATGATTTATCTTATTTCCTTTTCCCCTACTTGTGGATTGCTTTGAGGTTCTCACATATCTGTTTTACTGTTGATTGTCATAAAATACCAGTTGCTTCAGGCCTGGATAAAATTATTTACAGTTCACATAGTCAATGTAGGTGTTCTAAGCTATGAGATGATTATAGCCCATTGTGTTGTGACTAATTGAAATCAGTTTATCATTTTCTCTGTTGAGCATACACTCTTAGGACATCATTGATTATAGATCATTTTTCCTTTATTTTTGAAAAATATCTTTTGCCACAACATTTTGAATATGATCCCTTGATAATATTTCAGATTCATCAAAAAAGAAAAGCTACATTTCTATACACTTTTGTTATTCTATCAAAATGTTTCAAGAGCATCCATGATTGAGATAAATGAATTCACCCTGACCTTGTCTCCAAGAGAGAACTTGTATGAACAATAGAAGTTATCTTAGTGTGAAAAAAGGGATCAAATTTAGTAATTAATTCCAGCAATCTAATAATGTTCTTTGGTGAGCCAAATGTTTCACAGTGTCCCTTCAAAACCAATTCAGTCAACATGACAGTAACAGTTTCTGAAATGCATGTCTCCAGTAATCTTGTTTTGTTATTTTCTCTTATATTTCAGTTTTGATGTGACTAGACATTCTTGATAGGGTAGCTTAATTATTGCTTTTAGATTATGTGGACTTTAATAAGATGAGCAATGATGCCAGTTATCAAATCAAGTTGAGGTTAAAGATGTGGTGGAAAATAAATTTACATACAAAACAGATTTCCCTTTTGATTAGGAATACAGTAGTCATTCTCTTGGATATATTTTTCTATTTACTTTGGTGGAATGGGATAGATTCTTTGAGCAGTATTGCTCATTGGTTTATAGATTTACTTTGAATTGCTGAAAGATCCCTTCCAGGACTGACATTCCGTCAGCCTTTCTCAACCCAGAATAACTTGTTATTTAATGGAGTCCATAAACTTACATCATCAATGCCTCAGAAATCACTAGTGTAAGCAGCTGTCATTTCTTTATCTTTACTATTCTTTTCTTTATACTTCTTTTCTTTATATTGATGTTCTATCACTTCATTGTCATTCTCTTCAGAACTCTGTATTTGTCATGAGAGTAACTGACAATGATTTTCCTTGCAGTTCTTGTGAGGTTCCTTCTCAATGTTTTCTACTTGGTCAGTTGTATCTATATGTAAAACCAAATATTCTGAATCACAAAAATTTGTATTTGTCTGTTGTACAAAACCAGATGAAGTGATTAGCTTGAAATCTTTCAGTATTCTCTTCTGGTCTTTTTGTGGCTTTCATTGAGTTTCATTTTCATATGTATGTTTTGCCCCCAGAAATATTTAAGCAAATGTTTATTATGAGGTAATTAATTAATGAACTTGCACTTAAGATATATTAAAAGACAATGTGTGTTAGATCCTAAAATTAAATAAAGTAATAAAAAAAATATTGAACCAAATACAAATTAATTTATTCTAAATATGCATAAATTGCAATGTTTTAAATTATCTTAAACTGATTTACTTAAGAATGAAATAACAAAACACTTGTTACCATTCTACATATACATGTTATTTCATGTTTTACATTCATTTATGTATTTGTTTCCTTGTTTTAATGTTAGTATGAGGTAACATTGATTGCTGTCATGTCATATGTTCTTTGTTGACTAAAACCTAAAACATGGTTTCTACTCATAAGGAAAAAGATTAGACACAATTCAAGTTTTATTACTAATTCTGTATAAGGATAAAATATTTTAAAAAAACAAAAGTAATTTTTGGTAAAGAAAATAACTGGCTTGTTTTTTCTTTTTAAAGAAGCAAACTCTAAAAATTTCATAATTTTCATTGCTATATTAACCACATGTTGGCTCCCCAAATACCATGTTTTCAGTAATCTTTCCAGTCTTGATAAAGTTCAAAAGCATCTCTGCATGGGTGATGAATTAATTTCTACCCTACCTCTTACTCGCTGATGAAACATCACAAGCCTCTTGGTGCTCTATCGCTATTTCCATGGAAAGTGTTCAGATGAACTACATTCCTTAATTCCATCAGTTCTAACCTTCATGGCTAAGACCTGCCATGTCATTTACATTGTAGCGAACCACCCTCATTCCCTTCGTATTTCATTGTTGAGATGTAAAGGCAACTCAAGCAGATTCTTCCCACGAACTGCTGCTTTGTAGAACCAACTTCTAAGAGGATGCTTCCTGATCGCTACATTCTTAACCTATTTAGAGTCAACTGTTATCTTCCACACATATGCCCATAAACTGTACTTCTTACTCTGTAACCCTCTAACTTGATTGGCTCTTGTGTCTTGTACAAGGTGTACATCATTGTAAAAGAAAAATAAAATAAATTTTACATTTGAATATAATTATTTTCCTATTTTTGAACCCATTCAAATGACAAGAAATATACTTGAATTTGTTTTGGTTACATTAATGTAAAAACACATGTTTGGTTCAAATTATTCAACAGGGTGCTAAGCAGGGGCCTAGATAAGTAACATTTACTTTGAAAACAAATTGGCAAAACTTTAGAAAAATTAAAAATGTTTAACTATTAGCTCCAAACCTGAAAGGAATAAGTACTATGGAACCAAAATATCTTCATAAGAAATATCACTGATCACTGAACTTGTTGATATTTGTCATTGTTGAATATGACAGACTTCTGGTAATTCACTTAAATTAGTACTCAGTAAATTAAATCCATTTTTTGAAGAAAGTAAAATTGTAATTTTTTATTTTTATATTTTTTTTATTTTCAGCCACAGATAAAGTGGCTCTTCTGATTGGCAATGAAGACTACCGCAGTGAAAAAAAACTTACTGCTCCTCAGAATGATGTGGAAATACTGTCAGAAATTTTTATGCACTTGAACTTTAAAGTTGTCTCCCTTGTTAACCTTACTCTCAATGAAATGGAGTCGGCTATCATGAAGTTTATTGAAATGCTTGACAAGGGTGTCTATGGTGTATTCTATTATGCTGGCCATGGATTTGAAGTGAATGGTGATCCATATTCATATTTGACCCCAGTGGATGCTCCTACTGGTTGTAATATCAAATCATGTTTGCAGGCAGAAAAGATACAGGAACTGATGGCTTCTAAAAAACCAGCCCTCTGCTGTTTAATTCTTGACATCTGCCGTACAATGTAAGTTGATAACTATATAACATCATTCTGTTTAAGATTTTAAAAGTATACTGTAGGTATTGGATGTTGGTTGTAAAAGGTCTTAGAGCATACTCAAATGTTGGTTGTAAAAGGTCTTAGAGCATACTCAAATTTTTTGTAATAATAATAATGTTGCCCGGGGATGTAACAGTACGAGATAGATCAAGTATGAAAAATAAAATTGACAAAGATTATTGTTTAAGGTTGACGGACACGCATATCTTAATTAGTTTTTTTTTTTGTTTTGTTTTTTTGGGGGTTTTTTTTACGAATTGGTCAAACCCAAACTCAAACAAAAACATTGTTTATAATAAAATTCTATTCAATCGGTAGACTCATAACGATTGAAAACAATCGTCTTGTAAATGGAATTTTTAAAGCATTCTGAATGTAAAAATAAAGAAAAAAGTGTGCAAGACAATAAGAAACACCACCTGCCAAAAAAAAGTGAAGTTTTGTTGAAATTGGTTGAAAAATGTAGGAAATCCGATCCCAGATATAAACGAACACACACACACGCACAAACAAACAACCTGGGTTTTATAATAAGTATAACTTGATATGAGTTGTCCCCCTTTCATTCCGCGAAAGCGATACCTCTTAATTGTGTTTTCAAATTGATTTCATGCAAAAACAATTGTGTTTTTCCGATTTTTGGCGCTGTCAGAACCACCGCAAGGTAATTTTACGTAGTCCTGTGAAGTTTTGTTGAAATCGGTTGAAAAATGTAGGAAATCCGATCCAACATATAAATGTACAGACACACACACACACACACACACACACAACCTGGGTTTTATAATAAGTATGATGTCAGGGCAGAGAGTGTGCATTGATCTCAGTCTTTAGTAATAGTGTGTAATGGGGATTAGAGTTGAGTTGTTAATGTAAGTTACCCTGTATTACATGTATTAGTAGTTGAGAGGAGATTCCTTTTCTCTTTTATTAAACTGAAAATGAAATGAATAAAATGTACAATAAGTCACATATTGAAATTAATGAGAATTATGTGTATTTTTTTTTTTCATAAATGTTATTTACTGTTATATTGGTTTTGTGTGTGTTAAATGTTCTCAGGGTTATTGTCTCTCTTTGTTTCTTACTTGTTTATAATTGTTCTGAGAATTGTGTGGTTAAGCTTTTGAAACCATCAAATCTGGATTTTCACGGAGCAAAAAAGATACATCTTGTCTGTTATTCCTTTTATCTTTGCTTGTGGTGAAAGGTCATGAATCATCAGTGGTGTAAAGGTTGTTTTTAGAATGATGAAATATAATCACCATCATGAATCATAACAAGTGTGCAAGACTAGGTTACTAAGCAATATATTGAGGCATTCCTTAATAAGATAGTTTCAAACTATTTACCAGAGGAACTATTCTTACAGAAAATACATTGGCAGATTTCATTCGATGGGACCTGATATTAAGAGAAGATAAAAATAAGCATGAGGAAACCCATCTGTATATTTTCCTAGTCTTTGATGTGGATTATGAATTTTTGCTGTTATATGTGAGTGAATGGTAAAAAGTTCTTAGCCTTACTCACTTCCTAAATATCTGCTTTTTTGTTGTTAAAAGGCCTTTTTGGTTTGGCTGAAAACTTTCAGCACCCTTTATAATATGTGTGTGTCAAAACTGATTTTAAATTTACATCTATTGATATTATTAATGTGATGAATGCTATTGTTTTGCAATAGCTGTATAAAATTTGTGCATATTTTGAATTAGTACATTAATTTTTTCTCCTAAAATCTGGCATTTCATGTCTGATAAGATGATGTTTGCACTGAGTTACTCTATTGTTTTTTTTTCTTTTAATAGACAACAAAGCAATGTACACCAATCCAGACCTATAAGAACTCCAGAAAATTCAGTATATTTTTATGCTACGTAAGTATTTTATGTTTTTGTATATCTTTAATTAGTATTACTAAAATTGTTATTTGAGGTTTGTGATTATACATAAAGAACAAATTTTTTTCAGCTTTGAGTTGCATATATCATTGTCATTTTTAAACTCTTTAGTTTGATAAGTGTTTTTGTAGGTGTCAGTTGGTTTGGCTCTAAATTTATCCCATTTAGTGGATGAGATTCTAGACTAATTTTATTCATTGTTTACTATTTTAAAGAAAATGCTTTTTTTGTTCTTTTAAAAGCCATCTTAGCTATGAAAATAGTTTAAAAAATGTTCTTACCAGTTATATAAGGTCTAATGAAAATAAATATCATGCCTCTCTCCCTTTCACTTTCATATGTAGGACTCGGGGAAATTTTGCCTATGAATATGCTCGGGAAAAAATTGGACGGCTTGTTAAACATCTGCAAAAGTTTTTGTTCTTAGAAGAAGGCATAGAAACAGTGTTTGGAAAAGTTCGTGGAGGTGAGATTAATTTTTTCATTCTACCTGAATTTTTTGAATGAGGGGTTATCATTATTTACATGTGAACACATCTTTGTTGTTGTTATCACAACGTTTCAGCAGTTGTGTCTTCTGGACTTGTTTGTCTATGCCCATAACCTTTATTCTACAGGGGTAAATTGTTCTCATTTGCTATATTGTTTAGTTCTTATTTAGTACTGCTCAGTTATTGCTCACCCATTTCCACTGCTCAGGCCAGGGACTGAACTCATAATTATGGTGTCACCAGATTCACAAACCAATGCTTTAATCCACTAGGCTATTGTCTCATGGGGACAATTCTTGGTGGATAGCTTGGAGCCTTAAAGCTACCTCCCTGATGATGATGATATAGAAAGTTGAAGTGATAGCGAGGTTTCAACAACTGCAGTAAAATGTGAAGCCTCAGTGAGTGCAGTCAAGTGTGATGAGTAGCAGCACTAATCCCATAGATTAAATAATTGGTTCAGTTTGAAATTCCCTAGAGGTTACCATGATTGACAAGCACCTGATGAAGGCACAATGGCTGAAACATTGTGATAACAATGACATTAGTCAGCATGTAAATAATAATTTTTTCTGTTTTTACTATTTCTAACTTTTCCAAATAATTGTCTTTAGTGATTATTAAAATGTTTTCTAAAATAAACCTTGTGAATTTGTATTATTTTTTTCTTTTACCTATTGACTGTTTAAGTGGTTATGATAAATGGAGAACATTTTGTGAATTATATGAAACAACTTTAGGGTTTGAAGCAGTCATGGGCAAATTGCAGCCTGGTTGGTTTTTGAATAGTATGTTTAATTTAATACAGAAAATAATGTTTATTTCAATTTTGCTAGTTTTGTTTCATTCTCACTTATTCACTTATGTTCTCTCATGCATAACCACATGCTTAACTGATTAAGTACAATGTTTCTTGAATTTTATAACCTTTTGTTGAAGGTAAATTAAAACTATTTTAAATCATTGATTATTTTCACTAAGGAAGATCATACATGTAAACATCTTTTGATTTAGAAACAGAAAACATTCATATTTTTTTTTCTCTGGAGAAGAAACATATTTGTTCTTTTAAAAATATTTTTATATATTCAAATGAATAAATTAGAAAAAAATCATATGCAGCAGCACATGTTAATTACACTGTCATCAGTGGTATTATGCCAAGACTTCAGTTTTTTAATTATACAAAAAAAATTTTTTTTTTTTTTTCAAAGAAAAATAAAATCTACTTTTCTCCGTTTCTAAGGCATATAGTCTTGTAAAAATGACTATGGCACTGTTAAACAAAAAATGACCATGAACATTTTTAGTAGTTTATCTATATATAATGCAGCCCACTGTTTGAAAAAGGTTGCCCATATCTGATTTGAAATATCAATAGGAGATCAATAATAATAAGAGAAATATTGCAGTTAGCACCCAAAATGTTTCATCCATCATCTGTTTGTCATTTAAACATTTAATATATTTTATTTCAGCATTATAGATTTTTGTTCTTTATTTCTTTTTAGATATTGGAAGTACTAATTCTGACTACTTTAAACAAGTTGCAGAAATGAAGACTAATTTGATAGAAGTTGAACGTTCATTAACAGATCCTATTAATTGTACAAATCACACTGTGGAATTCACAAGAAGAGAAATTGCTTGGAGAGAAGCGCACAGTAAGCTAAATTTTATTCATGCCTGGAAGTAATTTATTCTCAATTGGATCTATTAGAGAAAATAGGAGCTTTTTTAAACACTAGTAAAAATTATTTTCTTTCATTAATACTGAGTATGATATTTTTGATGAATCCCTAGAAAGTAAGAAAGTATTAATTATTGAAATAAAACATTCTTGTCAGTTTTTTTCTTGCTATTTCTCAGGAATTTTGAAAAGATTTTACAGTTTCATTTGGCACAATTCTCCATAGGAAGGTTACTCAATTTGAAGAATTATCATTATCTACTGATAAAGCAAAATGCTTTGCATGTAAATTATCTTCCAACTCTACTCTTGACTTGTCTGGACTATCTTTGCTTGACTTTCCACTTAGAACTGAATCTCTACTATGCAACATGCACATCACTCTGCTGTCATCTCTTAAACTTGATTTCTATAAATCAAGTGGATTTGATGGTATTCCTGCAATTGTCTTAAAAAATGTGCTCCTATTCTATGTGATACAATGCTGTTTCTTACTGTTGGAAATTCTCTTATGTAATTCATATTTTTAACTATTGATCTTCTACTTCTTTTTGGCAAATTGTTAAAGGCAATTTCAAACTGGTTAAGCATCTTAACCTTGCAGGATCTTCTGTCAGACAAACAATATGGCTTTTGCTTCTCAAGATCAACTGTCAATGTGTTAACAGTTATTGTTGAAAGAGTCTGTCAAGCTTTAGATAAGACTGATAAAGCATGGGATTTTTAGGGTTGGCATGCTGGTATTCACAAGTGGAAGGGTAATGGTGTTTCTGGTTGAATTTCTGATTTGATTCAATATTTATTAAATCATGAAATGCAGGTTGTCTTAAATGGCCACTCTTGTAGGTCTTTCTACATAAATGTATGTGTTTCCCATGGATATATCCTTGGAGCTACTTTCAGAGTTCCCCCAGATCTGTAAAGAAAATTAAGGATTTTTCCAGGACTATGTTAAGAAGTTTCAAGGAATGAAACTGGTGTACATGCGCGCACACACACACACACACTCATCAATTTCAAAAACAAACTTTGTGATTTATCTTTTAATAGTTTGACAGGTGTTCAAAGAAAAGCTTGTAAAAAATCCAGATTTCTGGGATTTGGCATTTTGACATTCCCGAATTTAGGAAAAGGATGTGAGGGCACCCCAATTTAGAAAATTCCAGGACTTTTCAAGGAGCTTTTGGGTTATTGCTGTTTTTTCCATGACTTTCCAAGCCCTGTCAATTTTCCAGGTTTTCAGGACCTGTACTTTGTTCCTTTTTATCAGTAACCTACCTGATAATACAAGTATTTACACCTGTCTTAATGGTAAATTTGATAATAAAATTGGCAGCTGATCTTTAATCTGTTAACTGGCACAAGAAATGGATGTTATTTTTAATGCCTCAAAATCTAAACTGCTCTCTTTTAATCATCTTTTTTGTTTTCTATCAACATGGCTGATACTAACCTTCAGGAGAGGAACTCATTTCACCACCTTGGTCTGATATGAATTGGAATTATATCTAGTGAATTGCTAAGAAAGATGGTTTACTATTTCATGCTAGAGAACTTTTTTTTCACCTGCATGTCTTGCACTTTTACAAATCTATGATTTGTCCATGCATTGAATATTGCTGCCGCATCTGGTCTGGTGCTTCTGCTATGTATCTTCTGATTCTTAACAAAATCCAAAGAACCTGCAATATTAGTGGTTCTGTCTTTTTGAATTTGGTATTTTTAGTCATTTCTCCCTTGTAAAGGTTTTCAGTTTCCTTCAGTTATGTCTTTCATCTTCAGTGACCCTTCGCTTCAAGTGAAATGATTTAAAACAAAAAACAATCTGGCGTGATATTAATAAATCATTAATGAAAATTAGACATTACATTTAAAAATGGATAGAAACACTTGTAGTCTATCATTGCTGTAACAGCATCATTTTTTTTTGTTGCGGTTTACCTTTTCTAGATGCACATAAGGTAAAAAAAAAAAGCCACTGTCTTCTAAAAATTGACAGCCAGCATGATTACCATTTTGAATAGCATCTAAAATTAAATGCTTTGTCTATTATCTTGTATGAATGACAAGCTATGAAATTTTTGTTCTATATTGATCGTTATGATGTTATCAACAATAATTATCATTATATCAATTATAAAATAATCCCTGGTATTGTTCAAATAATCTATGGGAAAAAATGTCTTTTTCAGCATTGCCTAAATCTGAGACTTTTATCATTTCTTCAATCAATGTAGAATTGAAAGTTGACTTCCAACACAAGTTTTCTAATGTCTTGGTTATTTATGTCACAATCATAAATCCAGGAAACACAACCAATTGCTATGCTTGGGCAGCAAAATTTCCCTCAGTAAGTAAAAACTTGTTTTCAATATTTTAACTTGGAGCATATCATGAATGTTGTATTAGGTTGGCTAAAGATTTTGGTTGAATTTTGTTGTTAGATAGCATCAAGAGTATTTAGTTTTAATGAACTTCATTCAAAAAGATCCTTTTTGATTGTATTGTAACTTATGTAGGTACATAACAAAAGTCTAGCATAATAAAAAAAAAATAAATAAATAAATAAATAAATATTTATTTTTCATCATAATCTTCCTTGTTGATTCAATGGCAAATATTTTAGATCAAGCAATGAAAATCATTTGCACCAGCTTGGTTATACTGGTTGTTTTGATCTATAATTTTGACAGCACTGCATTTAAATTTTCTGTTTTTGAAATTAATTTTAATCACTTGGAAGACCACAAAAGATAGAACAAAATATTATAAATTCAATAAAAATTAACAGAAAAGAAAAAAAAAAATTTTAATTTTATTTAAATCATCATACAAACATTTTCAGTAATCTTTTTAATATGCTGGAGTTTTTTTTGTTTGGGTTGGAGAGGAAGAGCTGAAAAATATTTATCTCTATCTACACTTTGATTTGAATGTAACTTTTTAAACTAACAATTTTAAAAATTTTAAATATTTTTCTCTTCAATTCTTTGTTCAGGTTCTATCAGCTGATAAACCTTGTATTGTCCCAGATAACAGTAAGAAAACCAAAGTTGTCATACGAGACTTACAAAAGCTGAAAGTGAGTCATTTTTGGAGAATTAACTGACATTAAGAATAGTTTAGTTTATCTCTGTTCTTTTTTTTTTCCTAAGAAAATTCAAGTTTGTTTTACTGTTAACAAAATAAAATTTTAATTATGAGTAATACTTTCCTGATTATTATTATTATTATTTACTCAAAGTTCATTATTCCATCATTTACTTATTGTATATGAAAAATTGGAAATGTGAATTAAAAGAAAAATTTGATTCCAGTGCGTTTTTGAAATTTTAGAATACAAATGTTTTAAATGGAACCAAAAGAAAATTGTGAAAAATATTTTTCTTTCTTTCTTACTTACTTTGCTGCTTTTTCTTCTATTTCTTATAAATGAATAGAGCTCAAAGTTATTTAATATTTCATATATATATATATTTTATTTTTTTTTTTTTTTTTGAGGGGGAGATGAGAAATTATCATTATATGGCAAACACTTGTACAGGTACAAAAGAGGCCCCGATTTGCTTGTGGACATATCTTTCGAAGCTTGTCACATCTGGGTTTTCCCTCTCAGCAGCAGAAAAACTTGGCATACCCAGATATGGGCCTCTCCACAATTTGCCCAGATCTGGCTCTTTATCAACTGTCTCATATCAATAAAAAACAATGGGAAAGTCAGCATGACATTCTTTGCTATTGTAAAGCATTTTCTTTGGCACATTTTGTTTCAAAAATTCCGTGCTGTGGTTTCTGAGGCAGTGGCCCAAGTAGTCATTACTTAGTTTTATTTTGTTTTTTCCTGTCTCTTTCCCTTTTCTACCTGTTATTCTTAGAACAATAAATTAAGTGTTTCCCTCCAACCTCAACACACTATTTCAGCACTTATGGTGGGTGGCAAATTTGATCTGAGGCTAATCTCTGAATTTGATGGGTCAGACCAGGTACTCCTATGTGTTGAATGGTTTGAAAAGGTTTGTGATTTGTGAATGCATTGCTAGTGTTCTGTCACTCCGATTAATGGAAGGAACATTTGCTGTGTTTCAGCAAAAAAAAGAATGTAGGTCATAACAGGGATGTACTGTATGTTGCTTTTGCCACAGATCCATTTATAGCATATGACCAGTTTCTAACTAGAAACTTGATTTTGAATGAAACTGAATGTTTACTTGACAGGCCTTCCCTGGCTGTCAACCATTGATTTGCATGTGCATTTGTAGCAGGGTTGCCTGAGCAAGTCAGGCAGCTGCTGCTTTCTCTCAAATGGATGCACTGGATGTCAACCAACTGTAAGAGCAAGCCAGAACCATACTGAAGGATGAGGCTAGCCATGAAACCTGAGCAATGGAGTACAAACTTGACTTCTGCCATTGATGTGATGGTGCTAATCACTTGACTAGAAATAGTTTTGAGTCAATGAGTTGGGCAAAGTGGGAGCCATATGTTGCTATCACTGTGACAAATTGGGCTATATATTGTGGAAATGTATAGAATACATCAGATTTTTAAAAATCTTGTTACATCTGAAAATTAGAAGTAAAGCTTGTTAATTCAAATTAAGAGCCAAGTCATCAAAATGTATTTAGGTTAGTCTTTGAATATTTTAAAAAGTTGGTCTCAATGTTGATCATAAGCAAATGTTGATATTTATTTTCCAATTTTTTTTTTCTCCCCCCCCAGGATCCAATGGAAATTGTTATTAAAGTAGTGTATGAGGAATGCACAAAACAAAAGAACCTGGAACATCGGATCAAATTGGGTTATCCACTTGTGGCTAACCAACAACTATGGAAGAAGTGTACAGTCTTCAGCCAAAATGAACCTACTGAACAAGAATGTATTGAAAGCCTTGATCAAATTTCCTTAGAATAAAGAACTAATGTTATTGTTTTTCATCTTGACATATCTAATAGATACAATTTGGATTTCTTTTGTTGAAGTTTTGTTTTTTTTTACTTAATTGTCATGTGTTCACATTTCATAAGTTTTACAAATTATTCATGTAATTCGTAAATATGAAGGTTAACCACCACATAATCACCATTTAGTTGCCAGTCAAGATAAAATTATGATGCCTATTAATTTCTATAGTTTGAGCTTTCAAATTTTCTAAAATATCAACTCTTACAGGAAAAGTTAGCACCATAGGCTAATCAGTATTTTTTATTAAAAAATTATTAGTAAACATTTGATGAAAGGAAGTCAAGTTGATCTTGATTTAAAGAGTGTCTTTGGCAAGGAACATGATTTTGCACTTTAAGGCATTTTTAATTTTTTTGTTATAACTGATTTCTTTTAATGTTTATAAATATTTGTCTCTATTTGACAAATAACATTTTTTTAATACAGTTTATTTTGAGATTTGCAAACAACCTAATAAAGACTATGCAATTCTTTAAAAAGAAAAAAATTAAAATCCCCACAGGCCATCTATTGTATCCTTGATGTCATAGTCTCTTTCACGCCTCTTTTTATTGATATAGTAATTTTCACCACTTTTCTTTGTCAGCTGCGCCTTCTGGCTCTGAGATTTCTTCTTTAATTCTTTTTTGACCCTGTTCTTCACATAACTAGGATGGAAAGTGGAACTGGTTACACTAAGGGTCACAGTACTGCCAGGAGTTTGTTTATAAAGTTGACTATGAACATCACGGAATGGCATATAGGTGTGATTCTGAAGACTCAGATCTTCAAGATCAGTATTGACTTTACTCAATACATTGTCTTCATCAACAGAATTTTCACAGTTTACTCCATTTTTTATGTTAATATTTTCATCGAAACTGGAAATGTCATCATTTGATTCTACTTCATTTTCAGACTCACCAAAGGAACTTAGGGCATCATAAAAGATTTCCTCTTCTTCATAACAGTTGCTTTCCTGTTCACAGTTTTCAAGCCACTGTTTAATAACATTCAAAGATTTATCACTTGTCCCTTGCTTAGAGGACTTATTTTTGTCAGATAAATCTTTGTTCTGGCTGTCATGAGAATTGTCATTGTTGTCTTCAGCAACTGAACTATGCAAAATATGCATCTCCTCCATTACCTAGAGAAAGAGTAATAGATAGAATTATTAATAAATTCATAATCCATCCAAACAAAAAAACAAACAGTCTTGACTTTAAGAATTTATCCATTGTCCACTGCCCCCAAATAGCTTTGGACATTAATTGGCAGGAACCTATAATTAATACTGCATATTTATTTTATTGTAATGCTTAATTGGTTAATTATAGCATCACACAACAGCTAAGTATTTTTTTTTTTTTTTACAATAAACAAAGACTTTATTTATTAAAATAAAATAATTGTTTCCATAACAAGAGTTTCATGTAACAGTTTTTTGTATCAGTTTGACAAATTAATTCTTCCAAATTTTAATTTCCCTAATTTGGCTGCACTTCAGCTTAAATCTCAAAAGCTTTCAAGGAAACAAATTTCACAGAAACCAGACATTTTAGCACAATATTAGACTTATAAATGAGTATATGAAAGGCTGATAGCATCAAGCACCCCCAGCTGAACTGATCTTAGGTACAAAATGCTACTCCAGAAAAAGACTAAACAGATGGCAGTCTGCCTCAAAAAAAAAAAAAAAAAATCTAATAAAGTTGCTCCATTGTTAGGTGTTAATTGTTTATTAGTTCTACAAAACCAGATATATAGCTTGACATACCCAAAATTGGATTTAGTCGAAACAAAATCTAAATCACAAGGCATGTTCTGAGAGTGCACTTTATGGCTAGAATGGCTCATTATATTGTGATGGCTGTTCAGGTGAGTTGTGTTCTAGAAATAGTGCATAATGTGTATTGCATTCATATTAACTTATAACAATGTTATTAATTTACCAATGCACGTAGAAAGAAAGATCCGGTTCTAGTATACCATATATATTAGGTTGAGGTTTTTCATATAACTGAACAGAAATCAAGCATTTAGTACAGGAAGCTAGCATTTCTGAATCCCCAGTGTATCTTGGATATGCTGATATAATTTGGAATTAGATGAATAAAAGCAAAAAACATTCAAGATACTTTGGCTTAATATTTCCTTATTCAGAATATCATAATTAGTTCATGATGTGATACTCCAAAATTTGTAACATTGGTGTAGCCTCTCCAGTATGAAGAGAGGTGCATACTAGGGAACTTTCCATTTAATATGATCAACTAGTATGTTCAGAGTTAACATCAGTCTAATATAACCAGGAAGTAGCTTTTTAACCTACTTAGTGGAGTAATGGATAGCGACTTGGTTTGAGGAATTGGACAGCTGAGTTTGAATTCCAGTCAAATCCATTACATTCAGTGCTAATATCCTTGGGAAAGGTATGAATCCTCTTCTTCTCCCACCAGCTATGGGTAAATAGCAGGACAGACTGGGTTCTATAGCTTTGGAGGGCAACTAGTCTACCACAGAAAGAAATGGCAAACTACTGTGGGGAAAAATCTGCCTCATCAGTCATGTATTGAAAGATACATGATTGTGTAAGTGTGTATCACGCATGGCACATAATTGAATACATATGAACTGCTTAAGTTTGTTCAACAATGTCATAACGAGAAGGATAGTTAGATTTAGTTTATGGATTGTTCACTTTCCCAAATCTTACTTTTTATTCAGAGACATCATTGGGAGAAAGTGCCACATTCCATACCATAAAATTTTATTAATGAAACAAATTCACTTGCTTGTGATCAAGTAATTTTTGTTCAAATACCATAGTGCTTACCTAAAAAGGACTAATTGCAATATGTCATTTTCTCTATAAGTACTTTATTAAAATGAGATAAAATTTTCATTGTGTAATTTTGAAGATGTACCAATATCACTCCAAAAGTTGTTCAAATAACTGATCTCACTGATTTGTTATTTAAATAAAGAGAAAAGTAGATTATTTTATCTTGTTCCATAATACATTATTGAGAGCAATCAAATAAAGCTGTCAAAACTGACCTTCATAAATGCTATCTAGCTGTAAAATGTACATGCAATTAATACAGCTGTCCATTTCTTTTTAAGTCTTAACTGTCAAACAATTTTTAGCATTGTAATAGCAATACATCTTTATTGATTGAGGAAAACTAGGATCATTTCTTATATATATTTAGAGAATTTATATAACTTTGATAATGGGAGAAATTTAATAGTAAGAATTATTGTAGTAAAAGGCACAAGTGTCAAAAATTTAATTTCTGCAAACTGATTACAATGTATTCACGTACTAAAATTGTACCCAATTAATTTTCATAGTAAAAGTACTTCCAGTGTATTTCTGATAATAATACTGTATGTATTGTATTTTACTTATGTATAATATGACCATGTGTTTCTGAAACTAAAAACAGAATTACTTCCTTTCATAGATGACCCTTTGTACAGCCATCACTATATAAATATTTCTTGATCCATTATTAAAATCTCAATGTCATACACACATTTCACTAAAATATTTAATTTTTCATATTAAAGAATAGAAATGAACTGGGTATTTAGCCATTGTGTGTTTAATCTATTTTCGAAATATTGGAGAAAATATTTTTAAACATACATAAAATATTGTAATATTTTGTCATTTAAAATTAAAAGTACCAATATAATTATGGTGGATTGTTTACACATCTATTTTATATTATTTTATTTTTCTTGAATCATTTCAAGTTTTAAAACTGGATACTTTATGTCAACAAATAGAGGAATATCAAACAGCATGGAAATTATCGCCCCATCTTTCAGGTGGGGAAAAAAAAAATTTAGGCCTTTGTTGTAACATTACACATATCTTGTGTATTAATATTTTAATTAATTTCCTGTCTTTGAGACAAAAGATGTTCAATTATGCTGATTTTCAAATAAATGTTGCTGGTATATCAAAAACCTTCTCTTATAAACAATTGTTACCAACACCTGTATAGTTTATATTTTATTATCTATTGTGCTGAGTGTTTTTGCAGTCTTGCTGTTTTAAGCTAAGGAAAAATTTCTGAAAACGTGTACTTGTTTATAATATGACCACACATTTTCACCATAATTTTTCATTCAAAAATTTTTCATTATGTAAAAGAAAATACAATGATGCATAAATTACAACTGTTAAAGATTTTATAGAAATATATTTAAAATAGAGAACTAAATTATTATTTTGTAAAAACTCTGACCAATTTGGGAATAAGAATTATACATCAACATAAAACTGAATATGAAAACAAATACAAAAACTTACCAAGTCAAATGGCTCAGCTACATCTTTTGTAAATCCACTGGCAGCAATCTCTACATCTAGAGAATCTGTACGCCTATAAAGAAAACATGCATATTCAGTATCGGCAATCATAATCAAAGAAATTCAAATTAAGTTGGATAACTTGAATTAAAATATAAATTTAATTAAATTTTTAAAAGACATAAAAAATAGTGTTAAAGTATCAAAAGGAGAAAAAAAAACTGATGCTTTTTTAACATTGACTGTCAAGAGCTTTTCTCTATTGTGTTTTATTGATGATGCCTCTTATTTTGTCAGTTTCTATAAATACCCAGTATGGTTTTGCATGTAGTGAACTAATCTCATAAGCCATTGATCTATTCAGAAGTGTTCTTGGTTAATAGTCATACTGTTTCAACCATCTGGCCTTCCCCCGTTTTGAACCAATCCACAGAAGTAGATTTTTATGTAGAATACAATATAGCTAATTGTCAGGATGCCACTCAACTGAGATTTTTGATACATTTAGTCAATCCACTATGATATGATGTAAAGAACTTTGCCCATTTTGTGGAATTAAAGATGATCCTATTCATTCTAATCATATGGCATATAATTCTGTCAAGATGAAGCCCTTATTAGTGAATCAGAAAAGCAGGAAAATGTACCAATATTCTGATTGGATAAAATATCAACAACTTACATTATATACAAATGTGACAAAGTAGCCTGGCAAAAAGAAAGTTAAACACACAAAAAAATAAGCTGGAAATGGTTTAAAAGAGTTAAAAGGATACAATGAGAGATACCAAGAAAAGCAGCAAAAATGTTTCAATGTATCTTGTTCAAAAAGAAAGAAAGAAAAACTTATTTTTTTCTTTCTGGGTAATTTTCACTTGGCAAGAGTTGAAAAATATGCCGAATTAGTTTTGATTTCTTAAGATAAAAGGCCTAAAGATAACTTAAGGATTTGATAAATGACCAGTCGCGGAGAGATGCCAATAGACCCTGGAAAATGTACTTCAATTATTTTAGTGGCAGCATGGACTAAAGGAGGTTAATGAAACATGAATTATGTATCTGCCTGGCGCTGAAAGAGATTGTGCTATAGAAATAAAAATGAATTTTAAAGATTTCCCCAACTGATAAATATAGCAGATGTGAGATTGTTGACAATCCTCAAGAGTGTAAAAAAAACCCTGAGATTGAGATTTTCACTTTTGCTAGGAAAGATGAATAATTTGAAGATTCTCCAAATGATAAAGATCGCAGATGTGAATTGTTGACAGCTGGAGAAAAGATACAATGGATGACTGCCAAAGTGAGGCCTGGAGGGTTAGGTGGAAGAAGACAATTCCCAAATTTGGAAATCATAATACCTCACGAGAAAATGCTAAATGAAGAAACCTTGTTAGAATTGGGTTAATTAAAACATTTGGGGAAAACACTGAAAACCCCATCCTACTCCAGCTTGGAGTCAGGAGCCATAAAAGCAAGATGCTTGTGGCATTTTAACAGAACAATTGGGCAAAGAGAGGACATTTAGGCACAGTAGAGACAGTTGGGTAGAGATAGAGGAGAGTTGAAGCTCAAGAGACAACCAGCCAGATCCAGATTGCAACAAAGCTTGAGAACAAGTGCCAATGGATTGTTGCCAGCAAAGTGAAAGCCAGCAAGCCACAGGTTTATGTGGAAAGGGTTGAACTCTATATGTATTCTAAATTTATATAAAATTGTTCAATTTTTCCATCGTCATTCCAGTTTACAGGAATAGTTATTTTTCATTTGTGTAACCAGTACCGTGGTGATCTGATATGTCTAGTTCCTGCAGAGTTCAACCTACATTGCCCTGAGATCAAAAATCACATGGCAGAGAGGTTGTGGGTTGAATGACCAGTGACTGCTGACCTGGTTTTTGGACCAGAGCACTGGGGTGATAGGTTATGCAAACAATATACTTCGAATTAGCGTCACACATGTACACACTGGCAAGAAGGCATACTTTTGAAACTACCATTTTTCCAACTGATGGTAAACATTGAAGGAATAGCGTTAAGAGCATATCATTGATGCCAACTATGTATTTGAGATATATAGATAACATAAAAAAATAAAAATGCTGACTGCCAATGTAAATGGACAGAATTATTATATGTATATATATTATTTTGAGTTATATATAGTATCTTAATATTCTCATCATTGTTTATTTACTGTATTTGTTGGCATGAACTGCATAAAAATATTTTTTATTCATTTATTGAATCATTTTATTATAACAAATACATTATATCAGCTAAGCTGAACTTAAATTTAACACAAATCAATTATAACTTATTTAACTTATAATTTAAAGTTTGTTTTTATATAAAGGAAGATAAAATTTGCTTTTAGAAGAGAAGTCTAACATCTAATTTCTAAGCTTAAATATAACTATTTTTTTTTTATTGTATTTTAACTTGTTTTATTCAATTTTTATATTACTAAACACTATTATGATAAAAATAATGATGTGATTGTTATTAATTATTCAATTATTTTATTACATTGTTTATTAGAGAAATTTTTGTATTTTTATTTTATTTTTATGTATGCTTATTATATGTGCCACACCTTGGGCCCCTGATTTTCCATTTCAAATTTCCCCTGATTTTGTTTCCATTTTTGGTAAATTCTGTTTTTTTTCCATTGGGAAATTTCATTTTTTTCCATTTTATAGTATTTTATGAGAAAATTGCAATACAATATACAATTATTATTATTACAATTATTATTAAAACTGAAAACAAAAACATAATTCAAAGTTTTATTGCATATAAAGAAATAGCAAATATCTAAAAATAAATATCTTTTTTTAAATGTTAAAATCCAAGTCCAATAATAAATTACATATCTTTGAGGTAGAACTTTTAATCAGCATTCCTTCTTTAAGAACATGTTCAAAATACATTCAAATTGTTTTTGTTATTTTAGTATTTAGACTGATTCATAATATAAAAATCACATTTAAAGTATCAACCGCAAATAACTTGAATCTCAATAATAAATATCTGAATAAAGTCAAACATTTTGGCTAAAATTTTACAAAACAGTAATTAAACCATAATTGAATCTTTGTAATAAAATATCAAAAACAAAATAGACATATTAATTCAAAATTTAAATAAAACAACTTATCTCAAGTTGAAATACTGCTCAAATTTAAAATTGCTAATTTCTTAATTTGGGAAATATCTAATCTTCAAATCACTTCTCTAAATCTCCATTGTAATACACTGTGAGTTGCTTGGTGTTCTCAGGGTAAGACTTTCACGTTGTTTATTGAGTAAATGTTTATACTGAGAAAATGAACATTCAGCATCTATGCTGGTAACAGGCATCCATCTATGACCTTATTGGCAATCTGTTCCAGAAGAGGAAATGTGCTCTTATTTGCATTCCAAAATGGTAGGATATTAAAAGGATTTGGTAAATCATCTTGGTAATTCACATACATTTGGAATTCTTCAAGAAGATCAGTAGAAGGACATTGCAAGTCCTTGATGGCTGCCAAATCATGACCTATATAGGGTAGCTGTCTAGGATCAAACAGGCAAGCTGCCTTGTAAAAGTTATACATAGGGTAGGTATCCAGGTATTTATTCAGTTTCGAAAAAAATGTGCTGAAAAAATTTTGGAAATTTGCGATAACTATCTCCCTCTCTGTGTTTTCTAGTTCAGATCAGAAGATGATCAGTTTCTAGGCCAAATGTTGATTTAGATGCGGCAGTATGCAAATACTGTTTTACATCCTCCATCATGTTATATACAACACATGCAAGTGGAGACATATTTTCTTCTAAGTTTGTCAAAGCTGTTATTAAATGAGTGCAGGTCTCATTTATAAATTGCATATTTAGGTGCAAATTATGGTAAGAGGCATAATGTAGTTGACCATCATCTACTAATTATAGAATCCTATCTATGGCAAGGCCATGGCTCTTTTCTTGCTTAAACAATACTTCATAAAACTGTAGAAAGGATGAGTGATATTTGACTGCATTAAACCAGGAATTCCATCTGGTTGTCACTGGTACAGTGGGTAGGTTCACTTGTCCCTTAAGCAAGGAACCTTCAAACCATTTTAAGTATTGCTTTTTCCAACTAGGTTTTTTAAAAAAAATGTCTGACTTGATGAAAGTAGTGAGCTGGGTAACATTATCAAATGTTGACCAGTGTGAAAATACTTTACCAACAAGATTTAAAATGTGCACTAAGCACAACGCATGGCCACTGTTAACAAAGACATTTGACAATACTTATGAGCTTTTTTTGCAATAGGCTGCAAAATCTGTTACAAAGGCAATAATATCCTCATGCTCCACAGGAGATACAGCTTTTTTTTTTTTTTTTTTTTAGAGAAGCAGACCAAACTTTAGAGATTGATTCACTATATTGACTTTATTCAGTCTCTTGGCAATTTGTTGCTTATACAACTGGTTTAGATTAAAAAATATAAATAAAATATGAAAAAATAATCATTGATAGTTAATATTATTAAAGGAATTTTTTTTTGTTCAATTTAAATTTGTTTACAATAGTGAAGCACTGAAGATGATGTAATTATTAATCCGAGAGAAGAGAATTGCTGTGTGACAGTAAGCTTAAACAAGCCAATTGTTTCAGAGAATGTTGTTTTGGGAGAATTCTTTTTCTTTATTTCTAAATTGTATGGTAGACATATGATAGCATATACTTTTCTTTCATATTCATAAACAAGTTTTTTAGAATCTTTTACTTGTAAATTGTGTGAAGCCTTAAAGGAAATGACTTTGTTAAACTTATTGATTTGATCTTTCATCTTGTTTGCTACAGTTTCTTAGAAAAGTTATAAAATATTTAAAAATAGACTAACCAACATATTCTCAGAAAATCAACAACCCACTTTTTATTTGTGCTCTTAATTATTTGTTGGGTTTTATAAGGAAAAAAAATACGAATATTTGTAAAAACAAATTTTAAGGAAATAACTATGTTATGTTATTGTTATATTTATTAAAATGCTTAACAAAATCAGAGAGACAATTATTAAGTTTTGAAAGAAAAAAAATTAAA